TTTGATCGAGCTACATAGCAAACGATACATTGGTCAGGTAATATGTCCATATTTACATATTGAGTTTAGATTTCTTAGAGGAAGAGCCATTGATAGCTCTTCTTAACCGACACAAACGGTCTCCGAGCCACGCCTGACGGTAGGGAAGGTTTAAATCATCCACTATGAGCTGCTCCGCTAACACCAAACTCTTTATTATGACCACTACTGTCAGATGGACCTCTTCAACAGGAGGGGAGTTGTGTTTCATCAGGGCAACGGCAGACCACACACATCAATAGTGACTCACCAGAAACTCCGAGAGTTTATTGCAAAGTTTCTTATGCTCCCACTATATGTCTGGGCCTCGCATCAAGTGATACCATCCGTTCCTGTCTATGGCGAATGAATTAATTGACGAAGTACTGGTCTCAAGAGAAGCCTGTAAAAATGAATTTTCCAAATTTTTTTGCCAACGGTTTCTCGTTGCTTTACCATCAAATGATAAATAGTTATCTAGCGAAGAAAATCATTTTTGACATAAATCGGATAATTACAACTATGGTAAATAAAACTGTTTAGGCCATCAGCCTAAATTTGCAAACTCATAAAATCTACTACGCGTTTGTTAATACAACTTTTCACGAAAGTAATTGAAAAATGACACTTAAGCCATTAGCGGTCGTTATCCCGTCTAATAAAACTCTAGTTTTCGGTTCGCGAAAAAAAAAGAAAAACGACCTTTTCATTCCATATCGAATCACGGAGAACGCGAGAAGTCTCAGCTGCCACATATCACCATTATCATATCAAAGGCAACAAAACACATTATAAGTACATGCTTTCATTTAATTTGAATATTCAATAAAGAATTTCTAATATTAATTCCCAATTTTCTATTTCTTTTCCACTTCACACCGGTGCAATCTGATCTACGCTCGTCTGCGCCGTGTGGTGAATCAAAAGCCAATTTAATGCAATAAATTACTTTTTACAAATACAGAATATCTAAAATAATCCATTTCAATTCCTAGAGTCTTTATAATATTCTCAACTTGAAATGCGTGATCGACCACTTGTAAAATTGTATAAACATTGAAATGTAAATATAAAAGTTTTTGAGTTTCTGTGGCCTAAATCAATTGCTTACATACATATGTATATGATCTTAATAAAATACCTCATTTGTTGTAAAATACAAACGCGAAACATTCTACGCACATTCATACAAATACGTATGTAGTTATATTCATAGCATAGTAACAAATTTAATATTTATAAACATTTTAAATTTGGAATTATTAATTATTATTTCTCATTTAATTCAAGCAAAATGCTAAAACTCACAATTTGTGGCCGAGTATTCTATTTTCACTGTAATCATTGCTACTTTACATATTTATGTACAAACATATGTCATATACTTGTTTTATTTTGATAAAAATCAACAACTAAACTTCAAGTTATCATTATTAGTATAAAAACAATTATATTTAGTGTTTTCACTCAAGTATGATAGAGTGTAAAGATTGTCTCTTCCAAGAAGGTGTGACGTCAGTTTAGATGACGAAGGTCAAAGTAATAGAAAATTGAAAGTTCTGTATATGGTGGCTTTACATATGTACATGTGTGCATGTACCAATAAGGACTTTTATATTACTTTTATTTAAATATCTATATAACTTGCTCTAAAATACAGAGTCCAATAAGTTTATTCTGTTGCTAGCCACGTAAAACTAAAAATGAAAACAAATACGTTTGTGTTATTCTTAGAACAAAATAATATTGTTGTTATGTTGTTGTGTACAATTTTTTACTGTGAAAACACAAACATATTTAGGTATTTGTGTAAGTGTTTGTGGGCTTGTGTAATTACGAAAACAAGTTTCTTATTGGGGGCCCGACACGCCGACTTAAGGTTATCAACAAATGATCATCGACCAAACACGTACAAAGACACCAAGTGATAAGGGGGTAATGTCGCTAGCGATAAGTAATCTCAATATTAAATTTATAGCAGTCCAAAAATTAAAGGCTTCGACTTTTCAAAACAAATGAATTGGGGCTGCGGCGTCTACTATTCGCGAACTGAAGTTTAATTAGTTTTAAGTTCAAAGACATGCATTTATGGATTTAAATTTATCTTATATTTGATATGATATAACTTTAAGTTTCGCATATACAGAACCAATATTCGATGCATATACACGTACGTATATTTTTTGTGTACAGAATACCATATTTCATGTTATCAGCTGAATAAATGCAGTAGTTAGCAATCGCCTAAAACTCAAATTTGAATCGTAGGTTGTATGAGAGTCATGTGTTTAACACAGGTTTCGATATATGAACAGCGTTGAGTAGAATGCAGCCGCATTTCGACATTGGTTTTAGAGATATTTTCGTGTACTTGGTACTTTTACCTTTAAAGTAAAGTTAATTTTCTTTAAAATTAAATTTTGCTCTTAGGGTAAACTTCAGGTCCCTTTAGTTAAAGAACTCTAGTCTAAAAACCTTATAACTTCTAGATTATCAAAGAAACAATAGCGACTATTGTCTTTGGAAGAAACAGAAATGTAAAAGTGCTAAATTTTGGCTTTATCTGCTGTCAGAAAAGAAAACCATGAGTGAGCTCTAAGCGATTGCGAAGAAGTAAATAGATTTGCACGTCATTTGAAACAAGTTGCTACTCCACACAAATTTGATCCCTTTCTCAATAATTTACATGAAGTGGCACATTCCTATAAAAAAGATTCTGAAATCTGAAGTTAATGGAGGGATAAAATAACTGAAACCCAATTAAATTATTGCATTCTTCATTTTAGAGTTAAAACTTGTGTTTTTCTCTTCAGGCTTTCTTCCACTCCAGTAGAAAGTGTCCCAAATAATAATAATTCCTAAACCTGAAAAACAGTGTAGACAAAGTTTAGTAAGTTTGCTGACCTGTGTCTAAATCGGGCTTAGGAGGAAAACACATCTTAACCGAACAAGTACGCGGGCTTGCAAACAGCATTCAATCAAAACGGTATTGTGAAGCTAGAAGTCTTCAAATGACGTCTTCAGTGGCGTGGACCCGTCCTTTGTTGTATAGCCGACAGTATTTACCAGCATCCGAAGTAACACTCCTGGCATATTTACGGATGATACTGAATTTCTCAGGTATCCGCAACAATTAAAAAAAAATTGCAACACGGATGCAGGAATGGAAAATTTAGTCAAACGAGAAAAAATCTTGTGCTATAAAATGTAAAAGTTGCCAGTCCGTTAAACTCAATAACGCGAATATTCCTCAACAAATTTGAAAAAAATAATTTTACGGCTGCACCAACTTACTTAGTTCCCATAAAGCATAATAACTTCTACAAATTAATCAATTTAATAAAGAGATCGCAATAAAATGAATTTATTAGAAAACGCGTTCTCTTCATATGAATATTTATCTGCCTATTACGATAAATTCTAGGATCATGGTGAGTTTTAAGTTCTATTTTAATTTACCTTAAGTGCGATTTCCAGGACTGGGTAGGTAAGCAGACATGGACACATAATACGAGGGTTGCCTTTTGTGTTACAAACAGGAAAACCGGCAAATTTGTCTGAAAGTTTCAAATTGTTAATGTTATACACACTCGGAACTTTTTTTTTGAAATACGAGAGCTATTTGTGTTCCTTACAGTAAATTAAAATAATCTCCTCGGCCAGAAAATTAAATTACAATCGCATTTCTGCGCTATTATAGTTTTAACAATTCTCGACGTGGATTAACTAAGCGACAGCGATTCGATGGACTTCATTCAATTTTTGGCGATGAAGCTCCATCAAGGACCAGTGTTTATCGATGGTAGGATGAATTCAATTGAGGTCGTTGATCACTCCAAATCAAATTTCGTGAAGGTCGCCCAAAATCAGTTGTCGTTCCTGAAACTTTTGATTCTGTGCCCAAATGGATATTGCATGTGACCTGTCGTAGTATAAAAAATATTCGTTGTGATGGGGGGGGGGGAGAAATGCTATCGTAGTGCTTCGAAACACGTCTATGACATTGTCATAGGCGATGAATCGTGGATTTACATGTATAAGGTCGAAAGTAAACAGCAGGCGACTGTCGTGGTGACTAAAAATGAAAAAATGAGCCGCGCACGAAGCAAATGGTTGCCTAATTTTTTTTTTGAAACCGAACAGCGCAGAACAGTAAATTCTAAAACAACTAAAACAACTGCATTTTTGGGCACTCAAAACATCGAACTGGTGAGTCATCATACGTAAAAATAAACTGAGGTCAACGTTTTACCTGAAGAGGCGATTGATGAACACATTATTTGCAGATACCGCAATCGGAATGGGAAACGTGCTTCGATAATTCGTTCAAGCACATTCAAAAGTAAATAGATGTATTTTGAAAATCAATAAAGTGATTTTATTACCTAATACCGAAATATAAAAGGCAACCCTCGTATATACTCTACATTTGAAAATGCGTTTAAAAGTTACATCTCTTTTGTCTCGAAGTGACATACACATTTTTATTTTAATAGAAACGTCAGCATCTAAATAATGACGAAATATTGCATCATACCTTTCGGAAGTTAGTTTGAAAATTGAAATAAAAATATTTATATGTATGTATGTATTCACGTACGTTCTAAATATAGACATACATATTGACGCGTATAAATGTAACGCTTGACTAGATGTTGTATTATGTATAAGGGTAACGGCATTTTTCAGAAATACGAGATTGTTGACGCAGACGTGAACCAATTTGAAATTAAAACCTAACTTGGGCCTTAAGTTTATAAAAAAAACTTTTGGGATATACACTTTTTGGAGCTTCCGTAGATTTCCCATTCAGTAATCAACAGAAAATCGAAAAAATAAACTTGAGAAATACCAAGAAAACTGAGACCCCTTTCGAACTATTCGTATATCTTATATAAAATAATATGTGTGTGTATATGTATTGTAGTTAATCCTACGACTACTTTGGTTATTATAATACAATGCTTTTTCTGTATTTTCAGCTGGAAGCTCTTACATGCAACGAAGAAATTCCACCTAATATCGCCACTCATCATACGTCGTTGCTTGTCCGTCCAATACGGCGATCCTACCTTGCTAACACCTGATGCAAGGGCCTACTTGAAAGATTCTATCGCATTATGTCAACCGGATCGTATCCACATATGTGATGGAAGTCTCAATGAGAGCAAAATGCTACAAGAAGTAATGATAAAGCAGGGAACTATTACTCCGCTCAATAAATACAATAATTGTTGGCTTGCGCGTACAAATCCTGCAGATGTCGCACGTGTTGAATCGAAAACTTTTATTTGTACTGACCGAAAGGAACAAGCCATTCCTGTTACCTCAAATGCCAAACAAGGTGCACTTGGCAATTGGATCTCGCCTGCTGATATGGAGCAGGCCGTTAAAGAACGATTTCCGCAGAGCATGCGAGGACGGACAATGTATGTAATTCCATTTTCAATGGGTCCGTTAGGTTCACCGTTAGCGAAGATTGGTATTGAGCTCACTGATTCACCATACGTTGTGGAATCAATGAAAATTATGACACGTGTTGGAAATCAAGTTCTCGCAAAAATGCAAAGCGATGGTGATCGATTCGTTAAATGTCTGCATTCGGTAGGTACACCGAAGGATGGAAACATTGCGGTATCTTCTTGGCCTTGCGATCCCGAGCGCACTATTATTCTTCATAAACCCGCCAGTAATGAGATCTTATCATATGGTTCCGGTTATGGAGGTAACTCCTTATTGGGTAAAAAGTGTTTTGCATTGCGTATTGGAAGCACCATTGCAAATCGAGAGGGTTGGTTGGCAGAACACATGCTTATATTAGGGATCACAAATCCCCATGGTAAAAAGATATATGTCGCAGCCGCATTCCCATCGGCTTGTGGTAAAACAAATTTGGCTATGATGACACCAACACTGCCAGGCTACAAGGTAGAGTGCGTGGGTGATGATATTGCATGGATGAAATTCGATAGTAAGGGTGTGTTACGTGCTATAAATCCCGAAAATGGTTTCTTTGGCGTTGCGCCAGGTACCGCTATGTCGACGAATCCGATTGCAATGAAGACAATTTTTGCTAACACGATTTTCACAAATGTGGCATCCACTTCAGACGGTGGTGTTTATTGGGAGGGCATGGACGAGCCAGATATCAATAAAATAACAATAACTGACTGGCTGGGAAAATTATGGTCCAAGCAAACGGGCAAACCTGCGGCACATCCGAATTCTCGCTTTTGCACTCCGGCAGCACAATGCCCCATTATTGATCCGTCATGGGAGGATCCACAGGGTGTACCAATCAGCGCTATTCTATTCGGTGGTCGCCGTCCTACTGGCGTACCGTTAGTTTATGAAGCACGCAGTTGGTCCCACGGTGTTTTTATTGGTGCCGCCATGCGGAGTGAAGCAACGGCTGCCGCTGAGCACAAAGGGAAGTTAATAATGAATGATCCATTTGCCATGCGTCCCTTCTTCGGTTATAACTTTGGAGATTATCTTCAGCATTGGTTAAGCATGGAAAAGAGAGGAACAGTACCAAAAGTGTTTCATGTTAATTGGTTCCGTAAAAATGCCGATGGTAAATTTTTATGGCCAGGCTTTGGTGATAATTCTCGTGTTTTAGATTGGGTTTTCAGGCGAGTTGATGGCGAAAATTGTTATGTAGATACTCCAATCGGGTATTTACCCAGCGAAGGTGCCCTTAATACAAGTGGTCTTCAAGAAGCAGCTGATCTAAAAGAACTTTTTAGCTTACCCCAGGAATTTTGGCAGCAAGAAGTTAAAGACATTGAAACATATTTTAAAAACGAAGTTGGTAAATATCTACCAAAGGAGATATCCAACGAATTGATAGAACTAAAGAAGCGTCTAGCTAATATGTAAATTTAGAGTCCAAACGCCAATGAACAGACGAGCAGCTTAAAGGTTTAAATTTTCAAAAAAATCAAGTTAATGTTCTACTCAATGCCATCTTCAACGAGTTAAGCGCTTAAAATATGTGCCAAACGACTGATATGTAATTTGTATAAAGATAATTAAATTTTTATAAATAAATATATGTATTTTTAATTTTCCCAAAAAACCAACTTTTTTATTCATTCATAAATATGCCACTCCATTTTATTCCGTCAATAAATTTGTTGTGTTTATATATAAAGTTCAGCATATTTCCTAGTGATCAGATCGGAGATGGTCTTGCAACCGATCTATTCGAAAAAATCGTATTTATGGCTTTATTTATTTCAAATAATTTTGTTTCTGGGGCCGATCTATTTGAAAAATATTTATTCCTACTTCGATTTGTTTGAATTCTGTTATAGGGTATCTATTTCTCTAGTTAAACATGAGACCAGAGTACTTTCATTGAGGAAAGGGGATCATTACTTAGAGATCTAGAACAATTGGTATGTTTTGGATTCAAGGATAGATCGTGTAAGTATGTCGCTGCGCCATATTCGCAGTTCAAGGAATGTCAAAATTATTACGCTAAATAGTTTATAAATTGGTGATGTGGCACCCACAGTTTTTCATGCCGTACACGTTACGCCGCTTAAGCCTCGCAACTGAGGTTAGTACAAATATATAAAAACTTCACAACCATGCGTTGCAGGATCTTTTCAATGAAATTCAGATAATAAAATGAGCAGAAATATTTGATAATTAGCCAATATACACTACATTTTCAGTCGACCAATTAATCGCCTGCAAATCTTTTCCACAATTCGGTGCCTTAGTAGGAGACGGTTATTTATTTTCGTTAATTGTGTGCTATGCAGCCTTATTCTGAATTTATTTAGAAGGAGTTCAAAAGCATAAATTTTAACGACAAAAGGTGCGTCATACGAACATTGGGGAAATCTCCCACTCAGCCAGAACTTCGATGTCCGATAATAATGGTGCGGAGGTGTAGCTTTACTTCGAATAGCGAAAAATAAATAAATATAAATAAGTTTTCTTTGTTTAAAATAAGGTTATTCTAGAATGAAGGAATTACTCGCCTCTCGTTTTTTACTCTTTTGCGACTGACGTCTAATATCAATTTTAAAAGAGTTGAGATCCCGCCAAAAACGTTTTTCTTTGGAAACTTTGGAAATTCCCTTCGGTTTTGAAACATGAATATAACATTTCATTTAACTTCTAACTTCTTCATTACTTCATTTTCAATTACACTCTCGGATTCCTCATACTCCAAGTAATCTTCTTCAATGTCATTTTCTGAATCTGGGAAACGTAATCCAGAACGATCGCTTCGTGATCTCGCTCACAACTTCTGCTAGCTTCCTAACCAAATTGATATTATTTTTCACACAAAAAGCTCAAGAGACACATATATTACCACAAAAGAATATGAGAAATCAAATTTTTCAAATAATTTCACAAAAATAAAAAAAAACAGTGGAGTTACTTTCCACTCCGCGCGAGTAACGCTGGGTAAACTTGAAATTCATTAATTTTAATTAATTCGAAAATGATTCATAAATATGTTTTCTCAAATTTGAAACATTTTTCACCCTTTTCTTCTAACCGACTGACGTCTAATGTATGTACATATATACTTATCAAACAAATTATGCTTGTTTCCACCTGAACGTTTTCTACTTGTTTCCATATAGACTACAATAATTTTAATACATACGTACATTATTTATAATTGCAAAATCATATGATTTAATCTGAAAATTTCAATAATCACTGTCTGCATTTATTATTTATTCATGAAAGAGTCCAAAGTGCAGAATACAATGTCAAGCGGGGACAGGTTTTTCCTCTCTCTGTCCAACTCTACAGCGCGTGTTGCCATCACCCAATAAGCAAAACGGATTCTCCACGATTTCACTTATTATATGCGAATTTCATGTTGATGATTTGAAAAATATTTACGATTACGATTTTTTAATTTACGTGTAATATACATATGTATGTGTGTATGTATGTATATCGAATGAACAGTTTATACAAGTTCTCCTAAAACGAAAAATTGCATTACAGATAATCCGCTTGGAATTTGATCGATTTGGTTTTTATTGGGTATACTTACTCATACTTGTACAGATGATTAATAAATGTATATGGAAAATATTACGCGTGGGATATATGTATGTATGTATATATTATGTACATGCTAAAACGAAATATTATTAAATTTTTTAAAGGAATTAGTTTAAAAAAATACTACTAAAACCATAAATATATATTAAAATATTTTTTTTTGCATTAGCTTAACCAATACTCGAGGCGTTAGCATTGCCTAGTAACATTCGGAATGCCTGGTTCCAAAATTTCCTTGACAATCAAAATTTTAAAAATATAATTTGCGGTTGCTTCTCGAGAGACACCACTCAATTTGAGGAGGGGCTCGGCCGAGAATTGCTTCAGCGGTTACAAAGCGGCAGTTATATATTTATAATTTAATTTAATTTTATTATACCTTCCAAGAACATGAAATGGTATTTTAACTTTGGTCCGACTTATGTACAGTAAGCACCGATCGGATCATAATGACGAAGTCAACTGACAAAGACTTGTCAGCCTGGTTGAACGCAATCTTGTGCTTCAGTTTTTAGATAGCTCAACAAACTTGGCCCATTGAACATTGTTGGAGCGCGTATAGGCAAATATATATGTATTGTCCGTGAAAGGTATAATGATTTCGGCAAGGCGGAAACAGCGATTTCTTGTTTATTATTTTTTATTTTAATAAGAATCCACTGTATTTCAAGCGTAGTAATTAATTTTTTTTATATGCGTAAATTTTTCTAGAAAAAGAAGTTTTTCTTTATATTCATCCTTTCTTTATTTGGTTGCATGTTCCCAGATCGGAAATCGATATCGCAAACTTTTTGAAACTTTTCGTAAAATATACATATTTAAGTCTCAATAATTTTTTACTTTACAGTTTTCCTTCTGCATTTGGAAAATTTTTGTGAGAAATTTCAAAAATAAATATTATTACAGTAAATTCAATAATAATCGTAGTATAAAAAACTGCCAAAAAGAGATCGCAATGAGTGTGATAAGCAAAAAATATTTTTTCATCAAAAAGATAATGCCCGAAATGACGTAATATCTTTTACGGCGGAAGTGAATAACAAGATATTTCCAATTTGATGAAGACAGTTTTTATATCAACCTTACTGTCCTTTCGAAATCACAGTAACCGAATTTTTAATTGTTTTTATATCAATACGCGATTGATAAACATATATATTTTAATGTGTTTGCATACATAAATGTATACATTATAATCTACGCACAATTGATAATGTATTCATAATTAGTTTTTACAATAATATTCATACATACATATACACTTATATATGTATGTAAACATTTAAATTTGAACAGGCCATGGTTTTTAAAAAAATTATTTCTCATATCATATCTTTTATTTGGAGACAGCGAGCGCGTGTTTCAACGTATTATAATGTACAATAATATAAATAACAGATCTTTATTTTTTATACGAATACGTAGTGAACAGAATCTAAATTCGTCTCATCATATATTATATGAAAATTGTATGACGTATATCTCTTTCTATATGAACGATAAAAATATCCACAAGGCACTACCGCTCACTCAATTAGTTCCCGATACGCGTGTTTGATATTTTCTAGCATTTCAAAGTGTCAAAGAAAATTAAAATAAAAAATAACATAAATGAAAATTTATAATTAACAGTATTTAGAAAAAAGAATGCAATATTTTAGTGATTTGGTCAGATAGAAGAGAAAGAAACGCTCATAACGGATACCACATAAAATTGAGTTTAACGATGAGATTCTATAGTTTTTTATCTTCAAGGAAATATTTTTCATTTATTTAAAAAGAACGAAGAGCTTGAGAAGGTGGCTCGAAAATTCTACGAAAAGATAAGGCGACTTACTGAAGGTTTCAAGACCGGAGCAAACTCTTGTAGGACCCAGAGAAGTGATATAGTGACGGATGCCCAGAGTATATTGAATTTATGGAGGCTGAATGGCAGTCAAAATGAAACACACGGAGATGGTGGACCCGAAATTCTAATTGAAGACGATGGAAAAGTTGATCCGTTACCCGACTATGAAGAAGTCCTAAAGAACAACAAAACGGCAGGGACCGATGGATTGCCGTAAGCGGTGCCAACGCCAATAATGAAGAAGAAGAAGAAGAAGAAATGAGAAATGATTTGAGAAAGGAAAACAAAATTTTAAATACTAGCAAACATCAATCGTTTTTCGACACGGTTCTCATCCGTTGTACCTTATTAATATTTTAGTGATAACCCACACACACTACGCATACAAAAATATGAGTTTTTAGTTTAGAAGTGTGAAACGACTTTATTTTGAATATTTATGCTGACTTCTTATAAGCTATAATACATAGTATGTTTGTGCACAGATATGTACAATATAATACATAAATAAAAATATATTATGTAAGTAGATAACGCGTGGCACATTTCTTTTGTCAATGCCTTAGATTTCCTGCAGCATCACTGCATTTCTTTACGTCGTAATTTGCGCAAAATATATTTTATTCTCGTGATCTGTCTTTGTTTATATTTAAAATCATATAAATACACACCTACCTATGTACGATTGAAATGTTTCTTTAATACTAGAAATTAATTTTTGAACAATATTCTCGGAATGAATTGACACATTAACCCATAATAATTTTCATATGTACATAGTATATGTGTGAAGATTTTTTAATTTTAGTTAACAGAGAGAAGTTCATATGAAATACAAGCGCGGAAATCCTGTTAAAAGTAGAGTTGTTTCAGAGAATTCCACGAGTTGCAGTAGATTATTCGCTGTTGTGATCTTCTTACCTACAACGCAATTTTAATCAATGAATGTCCATTTTAATCACAATTTGAAATTTAGTAGTACTAGTTTGAATTTTCAATTTTAATTTCAATTTCGAATGGATTCTATTATACAATTATGCAATTACGATTCTGATTGAAATCGGATTTCTGCGTTGATTCCAGGCTCTGAATTCCCATTACAAGTAAAAACATGAGCATAATAATTCTAAGTTGTCTGCCAAATTTACACATAATTTTAAATACTATGAATATTAAGAATTTTGATAAAAGCTGGAGTAGGTAAGGTTTCTCAAAATATTATATTTTTATTGTGGTTATATTTTGTTTTTTATGCAAGAATGAAACAAATTAAATAATCCAATTGAAAGTGGTTTGTAAACTATTGCTTATTTCGTGAAAAGAGTAAGAGCGAATGTTAATAAAAGAAGTGGGAAAAATGGTTTAATCACCAACGATTTGAAAAACTAACAAACGTAACTCTCTTACGAGTGCCGATCCCTCGATCTAACATCGAATTGAGGTCGTCTCGAGCTGAAGTATCTTCATTAAATGCCTGAATATATAAAGTAAAAATAAAAACATAATAAGCTCGAAAGTCAATTTGCCAATATTTTCACTCGAATCGCCAAGCCCACACACATATGGGTGTAGGTACTTATGCAGACGTCTGTTTATATATGTATAGGAGTATCTACACTTATATTTATTAATATGAGCCAAAAATTGGAGGCTTGTTTATTATGAAAAGTTTTTAGCTTTCAAAGCACTTCATAAAATATTTTAATAATAGTGCCTGGAATGTCTATGAAGGCATGTATATAATATATTATTATTTGAGTTAATATTAGTTAGTTACTTAATACTATGAAGAGAAGCCCATAGACAAATTAATAAATACTTTATATTTCACTGATACTTAGTCACATACATACAACCAGATTTAGGTGTGTATTGCACATATGTATATATGTGTAAATTTTACAAAATATTTTGTACTTTTGCATATGTACACACATACATACATACATGCATCGATTTTATACACTTAAGTCCGAAGTCTTGTTTTATAACAGAACAAAATCTTAAATAAATATATGTATGTATACATGCATGTCCACACACATGCACACATGCACATATGTATGTATATAATGCGATAACTCGCCTAACTGGATGGTATAGCAAATCGATAATTTTGGGGCCTTGTTCGCTCTGCTGGAATTTAAAATTTTTTGTTTTTTTGAAGATTCTGGTATTTTTATAAACATTAAATTCATAACAACCTTACGTAGATACATATGAAAGAATTTGTCAAAACAAAGTCAAAAGTTATATTATATTTTTGGGATGAAAAAATGTAAGACTAACCTCAAAAAATGTTATCAAAATAAGTACATATGTATTCACCTATGTTTGTAAGTATAACTTGTTTGTATGTATTATATATAGGGTGAGTGTGCCAGTGAAGGTTTTTTATAAGAAATTGATTATCATAAATAAATGCTATCGATTCAACGATCCATTCACAATGTTATAACAAATTTATTATACCATTCTTGTGCTTCAAATTGGTATATTTGCTTTGGTCCAAAGAATATAAGTACCAGAAGGAGAAGATTTATAAAAATGTATACCGATCGGGTCATTGAGTTGTACGCAAGCTAATTCCGTAGTTTCTTACGTATTTCAACTAAACTTAACACACCGATGCATTAGTATGTTCCAACTATCATTTGTTAGAACCGGGCAGATCGAACCACTATAAATTTGTCAAAAAACATCGAAGATCCTGAAATTTAGTATTCTGCACACACATGATGAATTACGCATATATGTAGGTGTATAGGAATCGGACGACTATAACGCCTAGCTCCCACACACCGATTGTTTGGAAGATATAAAGACTTCGAAGAGGTTGAATACAGCTTCTCTTTCTTGTTTTCCTCTAATCTCGTCATATTAATGCTTTATGAAGAATTTTTTTGTGTGGTGGGATAGAGATTTTTAAATGAGGAATTATAAGTTATAATTCAAGAATTCTTCTTTTCGTTATATTTAATTTTGATTTTTTATTAAAATTGATAATAAATAAGTTGGCGCGGAGAAACGAGTTCCTAATAAAGTAAATGTAGAAAAGGCTTTAGAAGATATCCACCTACCTTTACGAATATATTTAGATATATTTTAAGAAATTCTATTAATGTTATAAATAAAAATTAACTGCTGTTGCTTATTTTAGCTAAAATTCAGAACATCCTGGAAGCGGTTCAGGAAATTCAAAAAAATTGTGTTTATGAGTCGATTAATTGGAAATTTGTACATGGCCAATTGTGATATTAATTTGGATTAGCATCAACACTACTGTTTTTCCACGAACCGACCTATTCAAAAAAATCCCCACCAATGTAAAATTCAAACGGCAAACATTACATGCGTACAAATAAGTGGATAGACAACAACGAGTGACTTTCAACAAAAACGTCTGCCAAATGAATTTTTGTTATCCGACCATTAAAACTAAGTGTGGCCACCAGAGAAACTTATGTACATACATATACATACATACATATGTATGTATAGCAAATGTGATTTACAGGCCTATTCTCATTGTTACCGGTAAAGTAAATTTTGTTACTTTGCTTTAACACCCGAAATTGAATTTGGTATTCCGGCGAACTGGATACAATGTTTGAAAAAAATTTGGCAGCACTGTTTTTTCGTCCATGTCAAATTACATTTGCCAGTTGATAAAGTAAAAAGAAAATTATTCACATCGAAATGGAAGACGGTGCAGAAAAAAATGAAAAAGTTTTAGTAATTTGTTATTTAAATCATAAATATTTGAACCTAATTATGGAAAATATGCCTGGAGAACAAAAAAAGCTGAGGGAAAACCTTATCTTACAAATTAAATGGCTATTGTTTAGTCTCGAAAACTTTTTAAAATACGGCTTTTTCACTTTTTTCTTCATCTTTAAAGAAGTCTAGGCCTAAAATATGCCAACCCATTTTGGTTTTTTATTTTTTCTCAAATTTACAACACAAAATCAAACAGCAGATATTTTTGTTACCTCCTATTTCGCTGGTTACAAAATTTACAGGGTGACAGTGAGCTCAGAATGCGAAATGGTAACAAAATTTACTGAATCGTAAATTTTAATACCGAAGTAAATTTTGTTACCTCAACAGAATAGGCCTGTTAAAAGGAAGCTCAATAACATTTATAAAAATTGTCATTCATAGTCGATTGAGAATTAATCTCATTTACCCTGCAAATATACATATATTCAATTTTAATTAAAGTATCACTTAAATGTTTTATATTAAATGGGGACATTTTATGAAAATATATTTGTACAAAAATAGAGTCCATCATTTTCATTTCTTATGGTACTTATAACATATACATATACATATGTATTTATATATATACATATACATATACATACATATATGCAGTAAATATATATATATGTATATATCTATATGCTCTTATTTTCGTAGCACACACTTTTTCCAAAAAGAAAGGCATAACTGAAATTTAAAACATTCAAATTTTGTTAAACATCGAAAAAAATATCTTTACATACATACTTATCTCTACAAAACATATCTATGTACATATAAATATATTTTATGTATGCACATATGTATACATTATCCAATTTCAATATGCACCGTTCAGAAAGTAACATCTGTGTGCAATTGGTGCAGCAATTGGTGACTAGAGCTATTCAATTTAAAGACACTCAAACAATATTCTGTTGCTATCCAAAGGAAAAGCGAATATCCGAGGTATTACGAAAACAAAAAACAGACACCCAAAACAGAATCCAAGCAGCTGATAATAATTCGAATACAATCGCATACACAATGAATTACGCATATTGCATGCTCTTGGACTTACATACATACATACATGCATAATATTACGTAGACAAAATTTAAAAAAAAAATCACTCCAATACTTAGAACAAGAAACCCGAAAAACAACAGTTTTATAGACGAGCCTCCAAAACTTAAGCCAATGGGAAGAAGAGCTCTTCGTACATACATATGTACGTAGTACATATTTCAGTCATTTATAACTCAGAGTTTTCGTATTCACTATACCGGTTTGAAAAACATCTCTTGCACACTCTTACACATATGTATGTATATTTATAAATTGCTCGCTGTGGAGAATGATCGAGCAACGAGATAGATAACGTGGTGTTATTATTATTATTATTTTTTGTTGTTTTATTTCAATGTATTGTACCACCGACGCCATAACATATGCTCAGAAGAGGCCTGTTTGCAGAGCAAATTTATTGAAACGGGAATCGGCTCGGGTGGGCTCGTTGTTTATATTGTAGATAACGAGTTCACTTGGCCCATTCGCGAAGTATAAAAGCGGGCAACGCTTTGGTTTAAGACATCAGTTACTCGAGTTTAGAGTAAATGGAAAGATCAAGTGAACAGAAAGTCAGTGGTCTGAGAAGCAAATTAAGTTTTGATAAAAAACTTTGGAGAAACATATGAAATCAAAAAATTGTCTTGATTTTTAAAAGTTGTGATAAAATTTGTGATTTCTCTATTATTTAAAGTTACAGTTAAGAAAAAGTTAAGTTGAGTTTTCATTTTATTCTAAAACAAAAGCAACACAAAACTAAAAACCAAAATGCCAGAAATTATTGAACAACTCAAGGAAATGTAAGTATATGTATAAGTGTATATCTTTTATATTATATATGTACGTATATATGTATGTATGTATGTATGTGCAATTATTTGTAAACCTCCATGAATACATTGTATGTAAAGTGTGTCATATATGATGTAAATTACATCAGCATAAATATTCTTAACATGAACATATATACATACACACATACATAAATACGAAGTTATGTGTGTTTTATTTGATTGAAATTAAATTGCAAAGTGCAAATTTTCGAAGAGTTAATGATTTGTTCTCTTTTTGCTTGGATTTAGGCCTCTTGGCAACTGTGCATTACCACGCCAAAACAAAAATCAGCAAACTAATTGTGGCTTATACAGTCATATTCGTGGCACGAACGTGTCCTTCGGCAATGTGTCCTCTCTTACACCATCAGTTCAAGCCTTCGTAGAGGAGTCGGTAGCTTTGTGTCAACCCGATCAAGTGCATATCTGTGATGGATCCGAAATAGAGAACAAAATCTTGATTAAATTGATGTTGGACGATGGAACCATTATTCCGCTCCCCAAGTACGAAAATTGTTGGTTAGCTCGTACAAATCCCGCAGATGTTGCACGCGTGGAATCGCGTACATTCATTTGTACTGAGCATAAGGATGACACTATTCCAACACCGACGGAAGGTGTGAAAGGTACACTGGGCAACTGGATTTCTCCATCTGGTTTTGATCAGGCTATACAAGAACGATTCCCGGGTTGCATGAAGGGGCGTACAATGTATGTGGTGCCGTTTAGTATGGGCCCGTTAGGTTCAGCGTTATCGAAAATTGGAATTGAAATTACTGACTCACCATATGTGGTTGCATCTATGCGAATTATGGCTCGCATGGGTTCACCAGTTCTGGAACATTTGAGAAAGCAGGGAGATTTTGTACGCGCCTTACACTCTGTTGGTACACCATCTAATGGTGTTATGGAACATCCATCGTGGCCATGTGATCCAGAACGTACAATTATTTTGCACAAGCCAGCTGAGAATTTAATTGTTTCTTACGGTTCTGGATATGGCGGAAATTCTCTTCTTGGCAAGAAATGCTTTGCGCTACGTATAGGAAGTACCATCGCCAAACGTGAAGGTTGGTTAGCCGAACATATGCTGATATTGGGTATAACTAATCCAAAGGGTGAGAAGAAATACATCACAGCGGCGTTTCCATCAGCTTGTGGCAAAACCAATTTGGCTATGTTGAATCCATCGCTGCCAGGTTACAAAGTAGAATGCGTTGGCGATGATATCGCTTGGATGAAATTCGATAATGATGGTATACTGCGTGCCATAAATCCAGAGAATGGTTTCTTTGGCGTTGCTCCTGGAACTTCTATAGAAACCAATCCGATTGCCATGGCGACAATATTCAAGAATACCATATTCACAAATGTTGCCTATACCTCAGATGGTGGTGTCTACTGGGAAGGTATGGAGAGCAGTTTGGCACCAAATGTCGAAATAACTGACTGGCTTGGTAATCCATGGACCAAGGAATCAGGCAAACCTGCTGCACATCCCAATTCACGTTTTTGTACACCGGCAGCACAATGTCCCATTATTGATACACATTGGGAGGATCCAAAGGGTGTACCAATCAGTGCAATTCTTTTTGGAGGTAGACGTCCCGCTGGAGTGCCATTAATATACGAATCGCGCAGTTGGTCTCATGGCGTTTTTGTTGGTGCTGCGATGCGCAGTGAATCAACAGCAGCTGCTGAGCATAAGGGCAAAGTAATTATGCATGATCCCTTCGCTATGCGTCCATTTTTTGGCTATAATTTCGGTCATTATGTTCAGCATTGGTTGAGTATGGAAAGCCGTGGAAATGTTCCTAAGATATTCCATGTTAATTGGTTCCGCAAAGGATCCAATGGCAAATTCATTTGGCCCGGCTATGGTGAAAATTCCCGAGTCTTGGAGTGGATTTTACGTCGTTGCAGTGGAGAGCAATGCTATACAGATGCAGCCATTGGCAGAGTGCCAGCCGAAGGCCATCTTAATTTGACGAATATGAAGGATGATATAGATTATCAGGAACTCTTCTCACTGCCGAAAGAATTCTGGTTGGAGGAAGTGGCGGAAATTCGTAACTACTTTGATTCGCAAGTAGGCTCCGATTTGCCCGAACAGATATACGAGGAGTTAAAGCAGTTGAAGGAGCGCATTGCTCAGATCTGATTATTTCCGATTTGATTCAGTGCGAACCTAAATATTTTAATGTTTATATTGTTTCACAAGCCTAACTGTATGAAACGCATTTTTGTATATATTGATGTAGTTTAAACTAGGATTAAATTTATTTTATAGATACTATGTACTTTTATTGATAAATTCATTACAAAGAATGATGAAATAAATTATAAGATTGTGCCATATAATGTATTTAAAACGAAATGTTGTGTTAATTCAATTCTTCAAGTATTAAGCTTTCTCAAGGGTGATGGGAAAGAAGCCTGCGAAGAAAGTATATGTATTTAACATGAAAAGGGAAGGAAGGCAAGGCCATCAGTAAAGTTAGGCCATCACAGAACAGGATTATTCCATAATAATAATGAATAGCTTCAAAATACTTTTCTAAAAACTTCTCTACCAAATAGAGATTGTGAGCCAAATAAGCAACGTTTTAGGGCTTCTGATATGTAGAAATCAAGGGGTAATCAAGTCACTTTAATGTGTCAATATGAAGTCCAAAGTGTGCGAATGCACCAGATGCAACTTCTGTAATCAGTGTAGTTTATAATAAATGTCGGTTTTTAACAATAAAGAAAAATTAGAACTAAAGTAACAAATTCCTTAAGCTGTTTCAACTCCTTTTTTCTCATAAAAACTTCACCTGCATACGAGTACATATGAACAATACGTAAGTACATGTTTCCCTTTTCATCTCGAAAATGCGTTCGCTTTTCATTTAATACTATTCCTACCCTTGCTACTCATGATGTTAAGCACTCCGATTTTTTGCTCGCAATGGCGACATACACGGATGATTACAGTTATTTCTTTGCCGCCACTGCAATAAAATAAATCTTTTGTTGAGGCAATTACTTCGTCTTCCAAATACCTCTAAACATCGATGATTGTTTTCGATGAGTTAGTACCTTTCGGCTGGTTTTTGACATTATTTGAATATTATTTACTCTCTGTTCAGAGTTCCCATTAGAAATACCAAGTGAAGCCAGATCCTCCTCTACCTGGTCTTTCCAATGGATTGGAAGTCTTCCTCTTCCTCTCTTTCCTCCAGGGTACTGCGCTCTCAACCATTCGGAGGACATAACCTAGCCAGCGTAGCGATGTCTCCTCATTCGCTGAACTATGTCAATATCATCTAATGGCTCGTACAGCTTATCGGTTCATCGGCCGTGGTATTCGCCATTGCCAATGCGCAGAGGACCATAAATCGTTCGCAAAACCTTTCTTTCGAAGGCTCTTAAAACCGAATCATCAGATATTAATATCGTCCACGCTTCTGCTCCATATGCTCGTTTGGAATCGAACGGCTCGGAGAGGTCCTTCCCAAGCCTGACTGAGATTTAGTGTTGCTTAGCGTCATTTTACAAAACCTTATAAGTTTTGCGGCGATGCCAAATTCGGTTATAGAGGCATAAAGGCAGCTCCTATTCGTGCTGTCGAAGGCGGCTTTAAAATTAACGAAAAAGTGGTGTGTTTCGATCCTTTTTTTTACAGGTCTTTTCCAAGATTTGGCGCATGGTGAATATCTGGTCAACCTGACTTACCAGGTCTAAAGCCATACTGAAAGGTACAATCAGTTTGTTGACGGTGGGCTTCAGTATTTTTCACAATATGTTCGACAGGACCTTATGTGCGATAATTGGGACAGACTTTTTTATGGATTGGGCAGAGCACACTCGTCGGGCATGCTTTCTGCCGACCATATTCTGCAAAGTAGCTGACGCATACAGCTCTGCCCGCCTTGATGTTTTTTAAACGGGCGATTTCTATTCGAACTTCTTCATGATCAGGTAATCTAACGTCTTTTCCATTGTAATCGATTGGGGTTTGACGACCGTTCTTCGATACACAGAGGCGCATACGTTTTTTCGCTGCAACAAGGTCCGAGTCGAGTTTGGGTCCTCAGAGAGTACGTACGTGAGACATGTTTTCCGTATATTACAACATGATCGATCTGGTTTTGTGTTTTTCGATGTATTTTTTTGTGCTGGAATCTAGTACTACAGACAACTATATTTCGGGCCCGGCGAAGTCACATTGTGACGGGGCCAGCTCTTGCAAGTATGCTCTAACCAACGACACACTTCTTGTACGGTCTTTATTCTTACGAGGATATCGACCAGCTGGACAGCGGAGCCTTTCCAATTAAGGGACCGGCCCTAAAATCGTGACTTAGTCCGTTTGCTGGGGTCGTCAACAGGATAGGGGTATCTCATCCAGGCGCTGTTATTTTTTTCATTGGAGCTGGTTTCTACGTGGCGGGTCCCAAGCCCAGCGCACAACATCGCTAGGCTAGTAAGTTTAAACTTTTTACACATATATATAGGGATCCGCTTGCTTCACCACCGATTCCCGCTCGCAGCCGCGCCTCTGGTGAATGCACGCTTCAACTTCAGCGGGCTCTTAAACCGAATAAGTCGTAGTGGCTCCACAGAAGCTTCATCTCTCATTAGCCGTGACCCAAGGCTCCACACAGGTTGGTTATCGCATCTTGCACAAGTGTTGCTCACGTTTCCAGAATGCGCGACGTGGACGCTAGGGTAGGAATTGAATATAGCCTCGCAACTGTAACAGCATATCCAGAAGCTTGATAACACCACGTTATTTATACATTAGCTTTTTCTTTAAGTATGTCACTGGAGTATTTTTGAACGCAAAAAATCAACATTTTTTAAACCCTTTTATATGTAGCGTTTTCGAATTTCCGATTCGACCAGCAGAGAACTTGCTTTGTTATATCTGCGGAAATTTCTGAAAATTTCCAGTAGGGAATTGGACTCGTTTATCTAAGTTAATAATTTACTAATAGGAAGTTTAATCTGATAAGGAATTATTTAATAGTCATCATTGAAATAAACCAAAAGGACATCATTAATTCAATGAATTTATGATATAATAACGCTCAAAATATTATATTAATCGACTGTTGCATTTCCTTTTGTGCTATTAAGATTGTATTATTCCTCGTACTATTGTACTAGTTTATGAATTTGATTGCATACCATTTTCGAACATGTGAATAAAAACTGTATTAATCTATACGCATAAACGTAAAATTTCGTTAATCTTCTTCCGCCTTTCATTATTTTTAATTAAATCTTTTAAAATGTCTTTTGATATTAGCTTAAAGTAATTCCGTAAGTAATTTCCTCGACTGAAATTATTATTATTAATTAAGTAATACGGAGGGGTTTTTTAAACTGGCTCACTACTCCCTCCTAAATTTCGTTCACATTGTTATTCACGGCCAATTGATTTCTGGATCATATCAGTCATATGATTATTTTAGACTCTCTGGTTTAGTTGCTAGAAATTTCGTTTATCTTTGTTTATATAATATTTGCTGCAATGTGCCTGTACATGATGTCTTATGTTGATTATGTTGTTAAGATCACGCCTAAACAGTAATTTTTAGTTTTTATATATTTATTAATTTCTTCAATATATATATTATTCTTCTCATTTAACTGCACTTTTAATTCTATTATTGGTCTACACTTCGACAGTGTCTTCCCAGAAATAGGCATACAGCATTAAATATAAATATAAATTATAATATAATTAAAAATACTAATTTGAGGAAAGAAATTTTCTTAACTATAATAAATTATTTAATTATAGGTCATCTGCGCTTTCCGCTTTTATATCAATTGGTTAATACTAATGGGTCGTGCCTTGGCTTTCGACCAGTTCCTCAATGGGTTTTGTCCGCTCTAGATAATACCAGATAAATAATTTTTGCTGTTGTTTTGATGAAAAATAGTATATCAGCGCTATCTGTACGTTCAGCAGCCTGTGATTTGAATTCCTTTACGGCGTCATCTAGCGAAGCGATGTAAGAAGTTCGTTATAAATTTCTGCTTAGCACATACGCAAACCAAAATATTCGAATTTGGGAATTCATCCTAATGAGAGAATTCGAAAATTTGAACCCGAGTTTGAGCAAATTTTCTTATCACAACGCGGAAAACTGGTTGATTGTAATCACCATATTTAAATAAATGCATTGCTCAAAGAGGATTGCCTTCTCACAAAAATTTATATGTGACAGTGGTATTTGTATTTATGAATATGATTTAGTTGATTAAATTACTATTAGTTTTGATAATTATGGAATCAAATCTTATATCCACAACAAATACTCGAATTGCAGGAAAGATAACATAGGAGCCTGTAAAACTTGCAACGAAAGTTGACATTTAGTTTGTGGGGGAGATTGCGCATTCGGAATTCACCAAAGTTTGGTGGAATTTGAAGGATGTGATATATTTTGAGCTGCTTCAATGGAACCAAACGATTAATTCGGATGTCTACTGTCAACAACAGGACAAATTGAATACAGCCGTCAAGGAGAAGCGACCAGAATTGGTCAATCGTAAAGGTGTCATATTCCACCAGGGCAATGCTAGACCGCTCACATCTTTGACCATTCGCCAAAAACTAAAAGCGCTTGGTTTGGAACTATTAATGCATCCACTATATCCCCTTAACCTTGCACAGTCATACTACCATTTGTTTTGATTTTTGCAGAACTCATTAAATGGGAAAATTTTCGAAAATGAGCATGGAATATGATGTTGCCGGAAAGACGGCGAAAGGTCATCCACCAAATTAGGTATTAAATAATTAATTAAAGTTCATTATAAAATTAAAAAAAAAAATGTATTTACTTTCTTTTAAAAAATCATCGGTTTTTTTGAAGCAACCTAATATTTTCATTGAAGATTGCGGTTATTCTACATGCTTCATGATCGATAAATTATAAAAAATACCAGTAAATACGATTTTTCTTCTATTTTTTTTCTAAGCACAAAACTCTGTGATGTTATTTGACACTTCTTATACCAAAATAGATTATTGTTGTACAAAAAATTATAATATTACAAGTCTTTTCTTTCAATATTCCTAACTTCCAGTTCCTCTATGCAGAGAGTATATTATTTTACCGAACTCGCAACTTCCCCTACAAACTGAATGCCAACTTTCGTTGCAAGTTTTACAGGCTCATATGATACCCTTCTTCATTATGCTTGGACCATGATCGTTTTCGATTGACATTATTGTAAATAATCCGTTTTTCATCTCCAGCTATGATTTGCTTCAAAAACGGATCATATTCATTGCGCTTAAATTTCATATCGCAAGCGTTGAAGCGACTTGTTAAATGAATTTCTTTCAGTTCAGGTGGTAGGTGATATCAAGTTTTTTACCAGTCAAAGCCGTCGTATATGATTATGAACGGTTGATTCTGGTATACTTAACTTCTCTCCAATCTCACGCTCAGTTACATGATGATCCGATTCGATTAAGGCGTTAATATCGTCATTATCAACTTCACTTTGACCTGAATGTGGTTTATCTTTGAGTGAAAAATCTCCCGAACGGACTTTGACAAACCAACTTCGACACTGTACTTCTTTTAAGGCCTCATCACCACACAAAGGTAAAGGATCTTTTGTGGGCGCAATATTAAAATTGGTGCCAAACACGCTTATTTTTTTTCTAAAGCAAGCTGAAAGTGACTGCTTAGAACTGTCATAAGAAAAAAATACAATTAAATAGTCTCAAGCTGTTCAAAGGAGTTGTCAACGCCGTCTATATTTTAAAACGTCGGTTTCTTTCCATCAACCCAATAATTGTTTAATAAAATTTAAAAAAAAAAAATTAATTACAAGGATGTATAAAATTATTATTTTTTTATTCAAAATAAACACACTGTTTAAATGAACGAGTTCAGATGTATGTAACGGCTGCAACTTACAGCTGCTACACTGCTTGCCGACTAATTTTTAGAAAATCCCGTTCAATAAACACAATAGACTTCTTTCTATACCAAAAAAAAAACCCAAGTCCTAAAATATTATATCGAAGAAAAAAATTAAAGAGATTATATGCGACATGTACAATTAAATTTTACTTAAAATACTGATTGGGGTAATGGACATAGGTCATTAGCTCTACCTTAAATCCATTGCAGATCGAAGCTTCAACAAAGGTGGTCAAAAGAAGTATTTGTTTCCTTTATGGTATCCTGCTGGTAGATGCATCGCTCAACAATTACTCAGCTACTTCCAACAATTCTTTGCATGTGACGCTCCGTAAGGAAAGAAATTGTTATTATGCAATGATAAGCGAACCTATCATGATATATATATTTAAAACAATATATGTATGTTATTTGGAAAAATTTAGATTAACCCTTCGCAAAATATATTTACAGAAAATAGTCGACGAATACCCGGCAGAAGCGTACGTAAGACCAAGTGAGTCAGAATTCGTGCCATCTATAGTCTTCGTAAAACGTAAAACGTAAAACGGTTATGCGTTGGCTATAGGAAGCTGAACAAAATAACGGTCAATGACAATCATCCAATGCCTCTTATTGACCTTGAGGCAAAATGCATTTTTTATAATGCCGTTTAGGCTGAAGAATGTAAGGGCAACTTTTCAGAAGTTTGTGAATGAAATATTTGCGGGCCACGATAGCTACAAGCTAAAACAACATTTAGAAATATTAAAGAAGGATGCTGAACAGTGACTTAGAAAATTAGAAAAGTTTTCAGTTCCGACAAAAGTTCAAGAAGGTAAAATTTGTTTGGCCGATGTTCATATTTTGAGAGGCTCATTAAATATTTTTTAACATAGCTAAGCCTCTCCTTGATCTTACAAAAAAAGAAGAAAAGTTCATTTTAGAGAAACAGTTAGAATCTTTTGAAAATCGCAAAGGAAAACCGCTGCTTACAATTTACGATCCAAGCGACTAAACAGTTTAACCCTGCGATGCTATTGGCTTAGAGCTCGGCGCGATGTAATTGTGGGACAACTTAAAATATTTTTACGAAATTTTGTAAGCAAAAGGTTGTTTTTAAAATTTGTAGTAAAAAATCGAGCTTTTTATAATAAAAAGTATTTAGTTTTTTTTTACTTAACGCCATCGCCCAATAAAATATTAAGCATGGATGTTTTGATTGTTATTGTTATTAATTTGTTATTAATTTTAAAATTTTTTATGCGAGGCTTCAGATATTTATAGTCAAAATTTTACATTGTTTTATAGATAAAAAATTCAAATTTATTTTATAATCTTCGGCAACCCACAAAATAAAACCAACTTCGCCATTAAGCATATGATTCGGTCTTGTCGTAACCTTGTATTCCTTGCTTTTTACTTGAAATAATTGCTATCTTCATATCATTGTTTTTCCTTAATGAGTTATTTTCACTATAAAATATCGTTATCTTTCTCATTTTAACGTATATTCCTATAAACGCTTCCTTCAATTTGTTTCCTTTATAAGGAGATCAATTAATAATTTCAAAAATTTATTTCTTTTTTTAATAAAGGAAACATATTTTGATCTCATAATCGTTCAATTGAAAATTTTATTCTACTCAAAATGTATGCCCATGGCAATAAGTCCAAATAATGTATGTACAAACTACTGATAAACAAATTTTTTCCGAGAATCTATAGAAAAATTATACTGTTACATCATTATAAATTAAAAAACCGAGGAAAGCTTAAATGGTATATACGTTAACAGAAACTTTGTCTTAAAAGGTGCCCCATTGAGCTTTCACAGAGATTTTTACCTCTTATTTCTGAAAAAGCTTTGTGGTTTACAGCAGCTGTTGGCTAAAAACCGAAGAATATACACTAAAGAAGACGGTGATTCCTTGTATAAAAGCGCAGTTTTACTCTGGCAGCGAAGCTGACAACAATTTATTAAGTTCATAAGTAATTCGCGGATGTTGATGTCGACAGTGCTGCGGGCTTAAAAAATGACAGAAGCTAGGTAAAATGTATATAAGTTAAAATACTTATTAAATCTGCAGCACTGGTTCTTTTTTTTGGAATCTTCAAAGTGCACACCTGTGAAATTTAACTAACTTGCAAAATAGTTTATACTCAGATGTTTCTGTGTTTCGATATACCAATAAGCGAACCCGTATCAATATGGATAAAAAAAAAATGCAAATATATACTCGTACTCACATATATATGTATATACGTGTACATACATATAAATTCATGTATCTGTGTATATGCAGTTAAATATTGATTCCAGTCACCGTAATATTCATAAACCGAACGGTAAATTATCAAAAACCAATCTACCAACATTGTGCTAGAAGAAGAAAGCCGTGGATGAAGAGAGAATGGTTAAGAATGGTCTAGCACTATGCCAGAGGTTTGGACAATTAAGCAGTCACATTCTTTTAGAAAGGCCGACCACATAAACAAGAAAAAGCCACAGACCAAGGGTGAGATGTACACATGAGTGGTGGGTTGTCGGTTGTCGTTCAGCTGGCATGGTCATTATTTTTTTTTTTTTTTTTTTTTGCTTGCAACTACTATGACAAGGTTAACATTGGTGTTCTTATAGCACTTGTTGCTCGTTCACTTGTTACTTTCGTGATTGCCCATTACTTATTAACAAGGAAGTTAGCGCTGAGACTGAGTGTGGGGTAAGTGAAGATGTTGGAGAATCATGTCAACTTGAGAGTTTGCTAAGAGTTAGAGGTAAAAAAGTACAAGTTGAGCATTTACACGAATGTATCTATTGTATATGCACATAAATACTATGTATATATTTTGTACATATACTTAAGTGTAATCTAGACGTATTTACATACATCCGTACATCTGACCTATTGGCTCTCATTAACAGCTCTAAAGCTAGTAGAATGTCATTCACAACATCCGTCAAGTCGCTATAGAGTAGAGACAAGTAATGAGGTATTTATACTTACACATCTTGTTACTTACGTATACATATATTTGTATATGGATTATCGAATGTGCTTTGGCTTTTTGGGTGGCTGAGATTTTTACTTGATGAAAACTTGATGTCAATATCTATGTACATATAAATGTATTTGTGTGCAATGAAAACAATTTGTCTAACGGTTTAAATAATCCGGACCTGAACAATCGAGCCAATTAATCTTTTAACAGAGCTCCCTCTAAATTAATAAATTCCTGGTTATGTGCTGGGTCTTGAGGGTAGGTAACTCTTATAACAGGCTTATTAAACTGGACTTATAAATGTTACATCAATTTTTTTTTTTAAAGCCTATAAGAAGGTTTACAAATGTTAAGACCAAATTAAATACGTGTTAGCTCGAGTTAACTCTGAGCCTTTTTAGTAGGCGGAAACATCTTTTTACTGCAGTCGAGAATTTCTGGATGAGTTGCACAAAGCGTAAGCAAATGGGTTGGGATCATTTTTCAGTTTCGTGAGATACTTTGCTCTGATCCTTTCTATTTTATGCTTAACTGGCAAGATACGTTACAATGTCCCAGAGTGTCCCCGTAATTACCCATTGAATATTGAACTAGAACCTCTATATTTTCTGAATAATAGTTGCTCAGTTGTAACCCTACAGTAGAATACCATACATCCAAATTGGCTTTGTACTTATCTTGTAAGTGATAAATTTGCATTCTAGTTTTAGCCAAGAGACCTAACGTCTGCCAGCCATCCTTTGATGAGAAGTAAATGCTCCTCAGTCGTTTTCGATGGGTTTTGGCGGCATTTATCACGGCATAATATGGTTGTGTCATCCGCGAATTTTCGGCTTACTTGACCTTTATTCCAACCTTTTTGAACGAGTGAGCTACATCAAGAAGTTCACTTTATTAATAATTCGGTTTAGCTGTTCTACAGTGTCATGTTTTTCACGAAAACCAAATTAATGTTCTTGTATCACTTTGTTACGATGAAAAAAAGGAGATATCTTTGTTAACAGAATTTTTTCGATTAATTTAGAGGGTTTCAATAGAAGAAAATGTCTCTTTCTGTAGAATAGCCACTGCAGTTTCTCTCCGATGTAGCAAATATTTCAAGCTGTAGATGGGATGAGTTTCATTCTTCTTTAGTTCAGTTGCATTGAGAGACAATTCCTCCTGAAATATTGGTTTGGGCACCTTACTTCTATCACGTCTGCTTCTATAAGAGTCTTCTTAATTTCGTCCAGCTTGACTGTAGATTCTAGTCCCTTAACTACAACGGTTAAAACTTTAGAGCAGTTTGGTTGTTATGAGTAATAGCTTTTAATACGCGATGATACAAAATTTATAACATCATGAAAAAGTTTATCTTTGAGAGCTTTTTGTGCCAATAATTAGGAGGGTTATTTCCTTTTATCATTTGTCGTATATAGTTAAATTTTTTTTTTGAGATTGATATATTTTATTGAACTAAACTTCCTTTTAATACTGAAACGGCGGTCAAAGGCTGTCTGTAGTTCATATGGCGATTTTTCCGCAATGCGTTTATCGCTTTCCTGTGCTTTTGCATTTACGTTGTTAGTGATTGCCTGCTGTGTGGTTATTTGCTGATTTCTCTCTTCACTTGTTGGCGCTACAAAACTAAAGTAGACATTAGAGAGCCTTCGTTCTGGAGGGCTTAACTGCGATAAACTCATTTTGTTCTTGAACTCTATTATATAATATATATTACATTCGCTTTTATTTCTGTTTTTTTTTCAATTTTTACTTTAATAGTGTTTTGCGAAAGTCACAATGGGTACTCGCCTAACTTTTATGGCCTTTCACTGACTATTTAAATTTAATTTTTTTCCAAAATCATTATGTACCCCATAATGAGAGCTTTTAGGCTGCCAGACACAGCAATGAATTAATTTCAAATTCCTTGGCAAAATAAAAAATTTCCAAAATCAATATCACGGGCAGTTACAAGTAGCATCATTTACATTTTAAAATTTTATCACCAGACTTTTTTCTTAAAAAAAAAAACAATTATATATATACGAATAGAAGAGACGTTTTATAAAAAATTTGGCTTAAAATAAAAAATAAAACGAGTAATAGTTTTTCTTAAAAGAATCTGAAATAATTTCGTGTATTTAAATGTCAAAGATGACATTTCACTCGCACTCGCAAAAAAAAAATTCAATTGCTTTATATTTTTTTTTTTGAAATCTAATGGAAGTAAAATTGTTTTCAGGCATACTAGTATTGCAATCGGTTTTATGAGGGCAATACGATATAGTATAAGTTGTTGAAGTCGCAGTTGCGTTTAATTTAAATATTCTACATAATTCGTTTACAAAACCGTTTTCTGACGCTCATATTTTGACATCCTGATGCTCTAACAAAAAACAACTAACAAAACGGTTATAAGCAAAACTTTATTTTACAGGTTCTATTTAGGTCTTTCCTTTTCTTTAATTCCATTCAAATGGTTTTTTACCAATATAAGGCATGTATATAGTACCGACTCGGTCATCTGATTCGATTTTTAATATACTGATTGTATTATCCCTTATATACTCTTTTCGTAAAAAGTTATAAAATAATTGTGATTTCGATCCGCTACATCAAAATCTTTAGTAAGCAAGCGGAATTTTTTTTAAATTTAAAGATAATAATTTTTGACTTCGAAATAAAAGCTTCGTCATGGCGTATGAGCAACATTTAGTTGACGGGGGAAATGCCAAAAATAGATATGCTTAAATACTTTACTTTACAGGATTTCAAGAGCGAAAATTCGAAACCATTTACATACATATATAACTGCTGCTTAGGGTTGCCGGATTTTCCAAACCGTCTGAGAAAATTGAGTATACTTTATGTAAATAATTCAAAAGTAAATTCATAAACGCTTCAAGCTTCCCTACAATTCATATTAAAATTAGTTTGTTTTTGTAGTCTATTTTTCTCTTTTCGCCATAAGGTGAACATACGACCTCAGTAGAACAATAATCCAACCGTCGACAACATGTGTATTTTGACAATTTAATTAAATAATTTCATTCAATCAACCCATATGTAGCAATGGCACCAGAAGTACCAAATGATGTTGAACGTTTTATAAGAACATATCGGTGTAGTTGTAAGCGTAAAGTTTTTTAAAAATGTGGTTTTTGGTTTCAGCAAATAATTGCACTTGATTTACAATTTCGGCCCAAACGGTTTTTTTACTTCTCACAAATATTCGCTCTCATTTTTAATGTAGTTTTGCAAGCTTCTTCGCACTGTTTTATTAAATAGTCGTCGCGAGGTTCCCCAAACATCGAATCAGCACATTTGGTACTTTTACATAGAACACACGAATTTATTGGCATAATTATTTCACTTTTATTTCGTTCTTTTGTTATTTGATTTGAAAATGCTCTCTACTTTGAATCACTACCAGTACTTTTACTTTTCAGTTGGGTTAAGCAAATTGACGGTTAATGACTCGAAGTCACCTAATTCATTCAAACTAACTGTCAACTAAACATTTTTTTTTTGCTTCGTTGATTCACTGTATACAATTCAATTTCAATTTCAATTGTAAACTTTTTTTGAACCCATAAGCTCTTAAAAAATCTGTGTTAATATCTTATGCATACAAAAATATAGTAAAGTAAGAAAAATTTCTTTGGAATTTAAAATTAAACTCTCATAGCCTTTCAAGCTTATTAAAACTAAATTTATAATTTCTTCCAAATATTTTGTTATTATAGATAAACAAACGCCGGCTCTTGTTTTAAATAAATTTGATGAAGCAAAATCAATTACAATTAAATTACCTTCATCTAATTGTCTGTCCAAAAACATCTTTAATTATTTATATTCAAAAATACGAGGTTCAGCTGGAATTTAATATAGTGAGCAATACAACTTTAAAGCTTGGTGTTAATTCACCGTTATTTTTTAAAATAACATACTATCAAATTATGTCAAATATAATTAGTTTGATCAAAATAAGTTTGATGGAATAAGCTTTTTAATAATTTATTGGAACAATTTGCTGATTGGTAGATATTACGATATTACTACGACGCAAAAATGCTGCGCCCGCTGTAGTACCCGCATGCTGAACATTGCCGTTGAATAGTTTTGGTAACTCCCTCTTATCAATGTACCCTACACAAGGCAAACTCGAACAAGGAATCGATATATTGTTTGCGTAATCATACAACGAAATATCGAAAAACAGATAATACTCGCGTTGCACATTTTGTTCAGTTATGCTGCGATCACAGTTATCTTATTTTAAAATATTAATACTATACAATGATAGGCATTTTTGTCATACTTCGTTAGCCACCGCCAAAAATAATTATAAAAGTTAAAAATATGCGACAATAAGTACTGTACTTCTCAGATAGGTGCGTATGTCATCTCTAATGGTGCTTTATAACTTCTAAATCGATTTTCGGCCGAGCTCCTTCTGTAATTTATGTAATGCATCTAGATGTTAGAGTCAGAAATGAAAGACGATCACAACCAGAAAAAATTTATCCAAACTATTTTTATATCAATTTTCTATCAGGATTCGAATCATTGATATTCCACTTAGTAGTTATTCGAAGTATACTTACTTACTTACCTACTTTACTGGCGTAGATACCGCTTACGCGATTATACTTGTAGCCGATTTAACAACATTGCGCCATTCGTTTCTTCTTTTTGCTATTTGGTGCCAATTGGAAATACCAAGTACATCCAGATCCTTCTCTACCTGGTGTTTCCAACGGAGTGGAGGTTATCCCCTTCCTCCGCTTCATTCGCTGAACTATTCGCCGTTGCCAATGCGCTAAGGACTATAAATCTTACGCAAAACCTTTGTCTCGAAAAGTTTTAACGCCGACTCATCAAATGTAATCTTCCATGCTTCCGTACTTTAAAGCAGTCCGGGAACGATGAGAAACTTGTAGAGTTTGGTTTTTGTTCCTCGGTAGAGGACTTTACTTTTCAATTGCATACTCAGTCCAAGACTGACATTATTATTGGTATTGGTGCTGGTTCCTCGATAGACGAATATATCTACAACTTCAAAGTTATGACTGTAAACAGTGTCGCGAGAGCCGAGTCGCGAAGGCGATGACTGTTTGTATGTTGATGGTAGATATTTTGATTTGCCCTCGCTCACTACCAGACCCATATCCTTCGCTTCCTTATCCAGTCTAGAGAAAGAACTCATAGCGCAGCTGTTGAGGCCAATAATGTCAATATCATCGGCGTACGCCAGAATAGTGTCAATCCTCTTTTCACGGCCCTTTACCAAGATTTGGCGCATGGTGAATATCTGGTCAATGGTTCACTTACCAGCTCTAAAACTACATTGACAAGGCTTATACCACGGTAGTTTGCGCAGACTGTGGGGTCACCTTTTTTATGGTTTGGGCCGCGCACTCTTAAATTCCAATCGCCGGCATGCTTTCATCCGACTATATTCTGCAAAGAAGCTGATGCATACACTTTGTCAGCTCTTCACCGCCTTGTTTGAAAAGTTTTGCCGGTAGGCCGTTAGCTCCAGCCGCTTTGTTTTTTAAGAGGGCGATTGCTTATCAAACTTCTTCATGGTCAGGTATTGCAACGTCTTTTCCATCGTTATCGATTTGGGTTTCGGGTTCACCATCTGCGGATTCTGTATTTTCACTGCTATTCAACTGGCTGAAGAAGTATTCCCTCCTTAAATTAAATATACTCTGGCCATCGGTATTTGTCCTACAGGAGTCTGCTCCGGCCTTAAAACCATCCGTAAGTCGTTCTACCTTCTCATAGAATTTTCAAGCATTACCCTTGTCGGCCAGCTTCTCAAGCTCTTCTTACTTTTGCATCTTGGCCTCTTAATATTTTGTCTGCAGATGAGTCTTCCTTCCCTCTCTATCTCTCGGTAGCAACATAGTGGTCCGAGTCGATGTTGGGTCCTCGGTGTGTGTGCATGTCAATAACACTGGATACATGTGTCAAATCGTGACTTAGTTCGTTTGCGGAAGTCGTCAACAGAAAGTCAACAGATGGTTTCTACTTGGCAGCTCTCAAATCCAGCGCTTAACCTCTCTAGGCGTATAAGATTAAAGTTTTTACACATTTATATAGCGAGCTTTCTTCAGGACACATATTATTTACTCGTACAAATAAGGGAGTATAACAGATTTTTTGGTATTGCAGGTAAAAGGTCTTGGCCCCCAATAAACACCGGATCCATTACTGAACTCAATGTTTCAGTTGTAAAACGTACCTTACTCGCCAAGGCAGTAGCTTTGTTTCCACGGCTCAATAAAAACAATTAGAGTAAACTACAGTGCCAAAATCACCATTTAAAGCTATATATATGTACGTTCAAATACATTTAACACTCTGTATATCCAATGGAAAAGCCAAACGATTATCATCGTCAAAGACAACCAACAAAGTATGAAGGTGTAGCTCACTCATCACATCCACAACAGTCAACTTTTCATGGCATAGATGAAGATGCTACCTCCATGGGCATATTAACGCAGAGGTCCATCCAATCAGCGATATTACAAAAAGCAACAAAAATGTCTTCACCCTCGCCGCTGCCTTTACATAAGAGTCCTAAATCTCCAAGGTAAATTTATACAGCGTGTTTATCATACTAAATTTCACATACGACGGGCGCAATATCCGAGTAGTTGCCCCTGCGTACTACCATCGGATTAAATCCCCAGTAAATGAAATGATTCGCCACAAATTTGTATGGTGAGCCGCATTGAATCGGCTGCCATTAACGAATAAAAGAGTGATTCACAAATGAACTATCGAATCAAATGCCGCAGATAAACTTGCTGTACTTGCTAAATTATATTATTAGAGTAGGATTTTAGAAAACTATTTTTATTTTTTATATTTTTTGGAAAATATTAAAATAATACCTAGTACGTATGATATAGTAAATCCTTTAAGAAAACAATTTTGTTTCAAACCGTAGATGCTTACCTGTGAAAATCGTGAATTCCTACGAAGCAACGAGGCAATCACCGCAAAGCCCTGCGGCACGAAACTCCTACCGGGCACAAAGCTCAGAACCCTACATAATGGTTGGCAGAAGTGGAAATATTAGCAGCTTAAATGAAAATCCACCTCGTAGCCCGAAAATTACAACCACTTACGCCAATGATAGCTGCGATGATACGTCGTCTACGGCGTCTTATTACCAAACACCGACTTCTGGCTCCCGTAGCCCACGTGGCATATCTTCCCATGAAAATTCAATGGATTCACCATCTTCAGGAGCATTTCTTAGTGGGCCTGGGACATCATCACCTCGACGAAGCCCAAACTCTCCTAGAAAATTTGTGTTTGAAGCTATAAGTCCGATGTTGGATTCGTCTTATAAAAAATTTGAGTACTATGAACCAATATCACCCGAAGAAGAATTTTCTAATCAATCATATAAAGTAAATAGTAATGAATATTTTGGTGCACCACCACAAGTACCTGCTTCACCAAAAATGTTTGAACCGAGGAGGAAGAATTCTAAAAAACTTTTCCGTTCCACGCCTTTAGATAACAATGAAGAGATCAAGCCTTTGGAGTGGGAGATGTCACAAATTGACGAACGTTGTTTGAATAGTCAGAATTATTATATTAAAAGAGATTCCTGTGTTACAGAGAGCACTCAACTATCGCTAGAGTCAAACGATACAACAAATAGTACTATTGCCACTGCTACCACATCTTTCTCCGAACGATCCAAAACGGATGAGTCATCTTCAAAAACAGTTCCTTGTGAAACAAGGCCTTTAGATCAACGGGGAAGAAGTAGACATCGTCGTCATGCGATTAATATAACTTCTAATCCTTGCTATCAGGTGAAGCAATTCGGTTTAAAGGGGAATTTTATATTTATTTAATATTTATCAATAAAGGTACTTCACAGCTCGCACTCTACATTAGATCGAACATGCTCAGATAGCGCAGCATCGCTACAGCTTCGCAAATCAACCAGCGATTTAACTAAAGGCTCTGATGCTATACTAAAACATAAAACTCTAGAAGATTCGATATCAACTGGTTATAAGCCGAGAAGGAGAGGTAGTTCCAAAGGTGGACTCGCATATTTAGCTAGTCGGCGGAGCTCTCGCGATTCCATGAAGAGCGTATGTTCCAATGCGTCTATTTTTTCAAATGATGATATTGGCCCACTCGCTTTTCAAGCATCAAACCGCGGAAGACAACGTCGAACATCAAACTTTCTTGAACTACCAGGTAATCTGAACGATATTGAATTTAGTTGATATTTATAATACTTAATATTGTCAGTAGTGTAATACGTAGAAGGCAATCACATTGATTATTGAAAAAGAATCTCAGCGGTGCTCTTCACAATTCTAAACAGGAAAGCCCTATTTTAATTGTTTACATTTGAAAAACAGCTGGGATCATAAGACCTTAAAATTATTTCAGCAACCCAATTATTCCGAACTAATATATTTCAGACTCTTTTTTTGAGACGAAGCCTAAACAAACCAGAGGCAAGATACCAGCGTCAGTAGTTCTTCCTGTGCTTTGTCAATTTGCCATTTATTAACCAAGTATAGACCAAATAAGGTGCTCTGCCTTCTTACAGACCAATAAGCCTTTACAACCCATACGGCACATGTTTGTTGAATTTCAAAAAAAATTATCTTGGTTGATAACATCTTTTTTCTTAGTAAACTGGCAGCGCTTGGATAGACTAAAGCATTTTTAATGCATACATAGGCTCTATAATTTTCCTTTGACGTCGAAGCTGAGATCGCAGCTGCATGCATTAGAAAATGTGTAATTACCAAATCAGTTGCAATCTTTTTTCGTAATATTAGTCGTTCCATTTGTTTTTGGCTGATAACATCCTCAGCGGAGTCTAAAATAATATTAATGGTCAACGATAGATTTCATGAACAATTTATTTTACAACAAGCGACATTTCTCTGGGTATTCTGCAAGTTTATATTAATTTACTCAATAAAATTTGTGATCTCTTCATTTCTAATCGTCATATGATCTTCATTAATGGTAATTGCTGAAAATTCCGCTCTGAAACTATAATACCACTCATCGAACAACGTGTCGTTAGCAAACTCAAATTATCGTACAAAGCAACAAATTTACGGTTATCAGGAAGGTTCTGGCAACTTGGGCCAGAATTTTATATATATACACACATCTAAGGGCATCTTGTTGTTTTCAAAATTTTTATCCAAATATATCCAAAAAATTACTATTTTACAAAAAAACCTTTTTTTTAGCTTATCGCTGTCTTCGAACGTCAAAATAAAATAAGTTAAAGCAAATTTCAGAAAGTGTGCCTCTTGGTGTTTTTCAAATGTAATGATCAGAAGAAAAAGGTTTATTTTAAGCCGCCTTCGAACGACTAATGAATTTCTACGAGGAGCTTTTGATTTTCATACCATAATCTGTGCCCATGGGCGATCACAATTATAAAAAATAAATTAGGATATTTGATCAGACCTGGGCTGGAGCCCTAACCTAAGCTATCCACTCTGCCAATAAATGAATTGCGTAAAAAAACTTCATTTTTACCAGGCATATCTTTCATTTCATTTAAATGTATCATAAAATTTATCTGTCATGTTATTTGCCACCATCGTAATTTTTTTAATTTAGCAGGCAGGTTTGAGATTTGATAGTCGGATTTGATTTACGGTTAGTTTTCAAAGCACCTTTCATGTAAGAATGGTTAATATTGTGTGTGGCAATTTAAATTTGTGGTGAGCCGAGGAGCGAAAAAAAGTTTGCAATGTGAAATTTCAATAAAACTATTAAATAAAATATGAACGAATTACTTTATTTGGGTTCTCATTGTAATTATTTTTAAATTATTTAAATATTTTGATTTTTATAGAATTGTTTCGCTTTCCGTTAAAATAATTTGTTTACACCTAATTAACATTTTCTGACAATATTATTATAGTTCCAGATCATATACGTCCACGTGTGTGCTCTCTACCGGAACGACCTTATAATCCTCGGGCTAGTGATGATCTTTATCGATTAAGACATTTTTCAATAAGCAAAGGGAATGTGGTGAATTGTGGTGATTCTATAATATCAAGACGATCACGTAGCAACACCAGTGTCAACTCTACTAATAGCAGGTTTGTGAATATAATTACGGGGCGATATTACGCGACCTCTGTAGGCCGGAAAAAGTTTTAAGTTATAGTTATTATTATATTATATTATATTATTACATTACATAACCTAAAGTGCTGTCATAGCAACACCTATCGAGTTGAGTTTTTTTTTTTAATTTTTATTAGCAGTTAAATTCAACAATAAAATTATAAACCGTTATATTTTTGGCTGACTCTAACTAAAAGTGTACTTAAACTTTTTCACAGCTGTAGTCTGCTTTTACTTAAGTCACTTTAAGTTAAAGTCAGTTCTAAATTCCGAGTGAGCTAAAGGTATTGCTAAAGCTGTTGTAGTAATTTTGTTAGAGGAGAAAGTGGAAAAAATTTGTAATTTTAAAGGCTTAATGTTTACTGAGAATGTATAATTCAAAGCGACTTTCCATTTCATTTAAAGAAAAAATACTTCTGTAAACTATTGGTAAGATGAAACAACAAAGTAGTATAAGCTCTAGAGTAATTGCCTAAAGGGTATTATTATTGAAATTCATTACGCGGTTTGCGCGTGAAGCTGGAGAATTCTTATCCAACCGCACCAAATGACCTAGCCATTGTGTTTTGATTCGATGAAATATGTCAAAATTTTTATATATTATATATCGTTCAGCTCATCGTTCCGTCCCTGCGGTAATCGCCGTTACCACTCGTGGACGGCTATAAACCTTTCTCTCGAAGACTTCTAAGGCCTATCATCGGATGTTATCATCGTTCATGCCTCCGCATTATATAACAGGACAAAACCGGTGCGCGTGTCTACTGAAACTTCGTTTAGTATCGAAAGCCTCGGAGAAGTCCTTCTCGATCCTGACAGAGCTTTTTGTGTTGCTTAACTTCAGTTTACAAAACCGGATAAGTTTAGAGAAATCCTTTTCTTTCTGTAGGTTTTCGAGTCTGTTCCAAATTTGGCGCATGGTCAATGTATGGACAATGGTTGATTTACCAAGCTTAAACCCACTCTGATAAGGTCTAATCAGATCTTTGACCGTTGGGTTCCGCCCTAGACACAAAACGCTCGATAAGACCTTATACGTACTATTAAAAATGCTTATCCCAAGGTAATTGACACAGGTGGTGAATCGCTTATTTTGTGGATTGCGCAGACCACACTAAGGTTCCAATCGTCGTGCGTGCTTATTTTGCAATGAAAATGTTGCATGCACCTTATCAGTTCTTCACCGCAGCATTTTAATAGCTCAGCCGGCATTCCATTGGCCCCCGCAGCGTTCTTGTTTTTCATGCGGGCGACTGCTATTCGGACAACGAAACATTTGTTCCGTCGTCATTGATTGCGGGATCTTGAAACCTTCTGTAAGTCGTCGTATCTTTTCGAAGAATTTTCGAGCATTGCCTTTGTCGGCCAGCTTGTCACGAATCTCATCCTCTTTCTTTTTTGTCTGCAAATACTTCTTGCTTCCCTCTTCAGCTCTTGGTATCTGTACCAGCCACGCGTGTTGTGGTCGATCGCAAGATTGAAAGGTAGGCAGTCTGCGACACGGCAATCCTCTTCGTACCAACTGTTTTTTCGAACTTTTCGAAACCAGATAGTGTTGTTTGCAGCTGTACGTAAACAGCTTGAAATTCATATTCGTTATTATGAATGCTATCAGAGATCCGAAGTGCAAGTCGAGTAGAAAACCGGTGATTATAGGTCTTGTGCTGGAATCTAGTGCTACAGAGAACCATATTTCGCGGCCCAGCGAAATTAATTAAATAAATAAAGAATTATAGAAAAACTGCTCTGAATAAACATAGAATGGCTGAATAGTAATGGACTTTAAAAAAGTAATAGAAGAATATGATACACATAAAGTTGGAATGAACTTTATTCTTTTAGTGTCACTCTAACTAAAGTGCACTATATCTTAGGACCATAATTTTGGCACCATGATTCGGGCCAAGGATTCCCCATATTTTTAAGGTAAATCAACAAATTAAAAGATCTTTTTTTTCTAGAGCAAGCGAGCGTTCGCCATTTGAAGGTTCTTGCTGTGGAGGAGGATATGCTAATGTTGATTCGGTTCCCACTTCGCCAGACTCGGAAGACCTCGAGCCGCCACCCCCACCACGGTGCGTTTGTATGCATTTTTTTTAAGCTGATGTCAACACTTGTTTTAATTAAATTTTTTGTATTGTTTATACGTACCTTAGATACCGAATAGTTATGTTAGGTGATTCTGGCGTTGGGAAAACTGCTTTGGTTAATCAATTTATGACATCGGAATATATGCATACATACGATGCGAGTCTAGGTAAGTTCTATGGTATTTGTCTAAATGAATTGTAGAAAGATCCCAAGTTTTATTTTTTCTTTCTATAAGAAATGCAAGTATGAAACTTTAGTTCCAAGACAGTTATGTCTAGAACAGTTTTTAATTATTTATTTTTTTTCAATACTTTAAGAAATTCAAATCTTTGCTCAAATGAAATCTCAACCGTTTAATTTAAGGGATCTTATTTTCGATCCCTTTTTATTTGCATGACATACATATACACGAAAATTCTCAAATTATATTAAAATGTGTTCCAAATCTGTTCAACCCATGTGCAACGCTTTCTACATTTAAGGCCAGGCCCCTCCAGAAAACGTGTTTTTTTATTTATTTAAGAAAAAAATATTTATAAATCAAAGCTTCTGTAGAAAAGCAGACGTATAAAATTATTAGCGGAATTTTTTTTTTTGAAAAGACGGTTCTTGAAATGCTGAAACACGTCACTTTTGTTGGTGAATGACACGATAACTGTAAAACCTACCATCTAAAAGCAATAATCAAGACGGTTTCTTATTCTGTATCACTTTGGCCAAGTTCGGAGCAACAATAAAACATTTTTACCAAAAAAAGGTGGACTTTTTATTTTTTTTACAACTTTTTTCCAATTTTAATTGTTTATAAATTTTTTAAATAAAATATAAAATGCCATGCCAATGTTCATGTTGATAAATTCAATAAGTTCTAAATATAATAAGAGTGTCAACCAGTTGAAAAAACGAGGTTTCGAAAAAAATGCGATTAAAGTACTTGATCGGCTGTATTCACGGCTTAGCACGCTCCACTCTCCCCTCTTTTATACTTGCTTCTTGATCGTGCGGACTTTCTAAGAGTATTTTTTAGCAATTTACAGGAAACAAATTTCAACTTTTGAAAAATTAGAGGAACCTGGACTCAACCAAAGTTGCAATTATTACCCACAGATCCTTGATTACTTTTCAATTAAATATCCTACACTTATATTCGAGCATATTTGCTTTAATGTTTTTAGAAAGATGTTTTTATTTGAGTTGTAGATGACGAATTCGGTGAAAAAACAGTGAGTGTGCTTTTGGACGACGAGGAATCTGAGTTGGTATTCATTGATCACCCGAGAGTTGAAATGAGTGTAAGTTAAATTACATTATTTACATTAGATATTTAGTTATTAAAAAAGCCTACTTAAGTAATACATTAAGTTATTGCCAATTGTAAACGAGCATAATTAATTTATGGCATCAAAATAATCACAATACCAAGTGCAAACATACAATTGGGTGGCATTGATAAGAATTATTTTTTAAAAGGAGGTAAAAAATTAGTCTGACAATTTTTTTCTAATAAATAAAAATAAACTTTGGTTGTAGATGGCGGCGATTTTATATTGTCCTTCTACTTTGGGTCTGCTATCAAAACATGTGCGATTCTCACTTTAGATACGACTTGTGTTCGTCAAGTTCCTCGAAGTCTACTCTGAAAAAAGTTCTATGCAATATTTCGAGCTATGCGAATTTTGAGCTACGCGGAGAGGTGCGAATATAGCTTGGATTCTCCTTGCACAACTTTAGGAGCATCTTATGAATCCTTTCAACTTGCCCAAGCCCACCCAGACTGTAGTAGCTATCAAAAATTCTTTGAAGCCCTCTTGTTTTGCTCTTCCCAATTTCTATTTATTTTAGGTATGAAAAGTTCTTCTCCACTGCTTTTTAATTATTTTAACTTCCGTCGCTGACGGAATGACAATAAGCTCTTCGCCAAGATCCTTATATGGTTTGTCAGGCTTAACGAAATAGTTCTTTTCTCGTTCTAATAAAGTATTGGACCAATCACCTCCTTTATTGACTGCTCACTTAGATGAGCTCGACGCAGTCGATTTCTTAGAATATCTTTTAAGAAAACACAAGAGACTCAGCTTCATTTATGGATCGCCCCAACGTCCTTTTTCTCTTGTCAGTTTTTTCCTTAAGCTTTTTATTCAGTAATAAATGAAATTAAGTGAATAATTGAAATCTTATTTCAAAAAAAAACTTAATCGCGAGTTGACCGAAGTTGACGTTTGTATCATGTTTCAAAAATTTAATAGGATTTAGGACGGGCGACAAGGGTTGGGTTTTTCGAGTTTAGTACATGTACATTAATTGAATCTACAAAAGATTGTTTCATATTTTACCATTACTTCGAAAATCAGATACTTCTTTACCCATGTACCCAGTTGAAATGAATATTTATTACAACGGTCATAGTAAAGTTCAAATGAGGTTACATTAAGGGAAGGAAGGATCTCGAAAGGCCTAAAATATAAGCAAAGAGGTTATGCACGCACCCCAAGAAATGTACAGACTTTCTCCAAGGTATGTTAAAATCGGTAGTCTCTATTAGCTTCTGGTATGGGATTTATAAAAACTCAGCATTTTTCGATTTTAAACAAATATGTACATACATACAACATGTCATTATTTTGTAATAACGAAACATGCTTTTGGGTTAAGCTAATTTTGTTACATAATTGTGAATATATCAATGTATAATACATATAAATAATTTTTTGTTCATAAATTAGGTGGAAAACTCTTTGTCAACGTATGAACCACATGGTTGTGTCGTTGTTTTCTCTGTGGTTGAAAAGTCGTCCTTCCGCGTGGCTGAAGAAATCATAAAATATTTATGGCAAGAAAACTACATTAAAGACAAAGCAGTTATTCTCGTAGGAAATAAAGCAGACTTGGCTCGCGCTAGAGTCATAACTACACAAGGTACGTAAATGAAATTCATCGACTGTCTTAATGGAATACCGGAGAATATTAAATTAGATATTTTTTTTAGAATTACAAATGAGATATAAGAGCGATTATTTAAATTATTATGAATATTTTGATCTTAATCAAAGTATTTCTTATTGCAATAATTTGAAAAATCATTGTAAGTTTTCAAAATTCTTTACATTGTGATTTTTTTAGACCAGTTAATAAAGGTAAATTAGTCTAAAAACGATACTTTTGAGACTTAGGATTGCTTTTTGAAATTCATTCAAATGGGCTTGACATTCCCTGCAGAGAAGCGACCGTAATTAGAAAAATTAGCGAACCACTTAGCTATAGCGATCGCATAGAGTTATTGTACTTCGAAGTGCATTAGCCACTGTTCTGAATGACAGCAGGTGGAGCAAGATGAACCATGACCTTCAGTAGACCTGTGGCCTATTAACCAAGTACTTTGCTCTGTCCTCATGAGCATTATCATTTAATATTTAATTTTCCAAATAGCTGCGTACGCCCAAAATGCTTCAATATTTTTAAAAACGAAAAATTGCTGCAATGGATTGTGAATTTGCTGCTTATTTTTAATATTTTAATGATCTCTATTTTCATCAAAATCATATTAGTATTATTTTTTCCTAATGTATAATAGTATATTACCATTTTCAGTTATGCTTTCTCATATGAATGTAAAAAAAACCCCGACAGATATGTCAACCAAAACAATAAAAGTCGGTTCGAACGTCCCTCAGCAAACAATTAACAATACCTTTTTTAATGTGTTTTCGATGTCGATGGGAGCAAGGTACAACCATTTATTGCGTTTTTTAATTGCGTCGGCTAAAGATCGAATAATAAATATAATTTAAGAAACTTGATACACCAGCACTTCCAAGAATTTGGGGAATTATTTTCAAAAACGTTATCTCACTACAATCCATGACACGAATTTATGAATTAACTTAATTTTTTTTTTAGATATATGAAATTTCTTGACTCTTTAAATTAATTGTTTGCATTGTAATTCTAGCTTCTTTTAAGCGTTTTTAGAAAATTGCTTGGACCAATTAGCTGGATCTCTAAAAAAGGTCTGCCAACACAGTTGGTGACCTTCAAACGAATTATTTCTTTTGCTTTGTTGCCAAAGAAGCTTATTTCCTTTTTTGCGAAATTCCATGAAATGTTGGATAATTTTTGATTTTCCACTTTCTCGAGGTATTTATACTTTTTTATAAAACTAAATCGACTGTCATCAAATTATCCATTTCAAATATAACATTTTTATTATTTCCATCATAAATAATAAGGCTGCGTGATACTTGTCGCTTAATAAATCATTAAATTTGAAACCGCACAAAACTCATTGTTAACGTTAATTTTAAAATGGGTGATTTAAAAGCACACTTCAATTTTTTTATCTCTTAACAATTTAACATTCACGATAGCTTTTTGGTTAGTGTAAAAATGAAAAGAAATTTATTTTGATAACTGCCTTCACATTAATTTTTCCAAATGCTTCAAATGAAACGATAGAAACTTTTAAAAAAACGTGAAATTTATCGTTACGATGCAGCTTTGCTAAAAACCAAACGAAAAATAAATCTCAATAAATGTATGTATATAGGTATTTATATAAGAATAGTTAATTTTTTTATTAATTTAATGCAAAATACTTTGAATTTCTCTAATTTTTAAACATTTTCAACAATTTTACATCGCGTACACTTTATATTTGCCAGCACCATTCAGTTGGTAAACCACAATATAACGAAACTTGCACCATTTATTAAAATATTTAGATTTAATTTTTTTACAATTGGTATATCGGATGACGTGTAAACTGTTTTTCTTTTTCATCCGCAGAAGGCAAGGCTTTAGCTGCCTCACACGACGCTAAATTTATTGAAACTTCCAGCGGCATTCAACACAACGTTGATGAACTATTAGTAGGCATACTAAAGCAGGTAATTGTGCTCCTCAATATATGTATGTACATGTGAAACAAGCCGTATCATAACTCTATGTAAGTAAGTAATTAAATGAATTTTACTTACTAATTCTTAAAGTTTACTTAACTTGGTGGCAATAATAGCAGTGAATCTAATCTCTCTTATTTGAATATAATTAATATATGTAGACTCGCGGTATAAGCAATTTGTGAAGGCATTTTGCTGTTTTTGTAACAAATGAGACACCCAAGAATATTTCTAGTCGCCCCCGAACGCCCCATGAATTATTATGAGCCGCTTTTAATGCATGTTGGAATACACTCGGGAGATTTGACATGTAGTATGCGTTTAAACTGCCTGCGCTGAATATTCTCAGCACTTTTTTTGATAAGTTGTCCTTAAGTGCTATGCCAAAAACGAGCACGATCTGAGAATCAGTTTGTCTGCAGCAGCTATTGAAATTAGGGGATCTCAGTTCCCTCTGCGAGCTTTCTTTTACGGCCTCAATCGACTCCAAAAAGATTCCGCGGAGCGGTAACTTGAATTTTGTTCAATGGTACTGAACGAATTTTTGGTCTTAAAATAGTTCAAAACTACAGCTCGGTGCTATGGCGCATAATCGTCATGAAAAATCCATGAATTGTTGGCCCGAAATTCCGGCAGTTTACGACAAATCTTTATTGACCGTCTGCTCCGTTGGAATGAATTGATGACGAACCACACTGCGAATATCGAAAAAACGATATCCGGAAACTTTCTGGTCTTAATGGATATACATAGGAGTATGTAGTAATTATATCTTATTCTATAGAAATACAATTGATATTTTATTATTTTATCATAGTCCAGGTGATCAAGTTATGCCTCTGAAACTTAATACTTTTATGAGTTCTTTACACTCAATAAGATTTCGCTTCTACCATAAAACTACCGAGAAAACTAACATTGAAATAAATTTAAAAAATGTTAGTCTTCTATTTTGCGACCGCTGCGTATAGTATACAAGTACCAGAGATGCTCAGCTAACAAAACGATACCATTTCGTTTTGATAATGTGAAAAATAAATTTAATGATTTAACACTCACGACAGCATTTCCCTTTTTGTTTGATAACTGTTACAACAATAACAATAACAAATAATTTGATTAACGTGAAATTCAATTCTACGAATCAGTCTTAGTATATACGTAGATATATTTTACAATATATTGACTTAGATATATTTTCCCAAATTATGTATTGCAGATGCGCTTGAAGGAAACTCGTGAAAAGAAGGCTACCTCAACGAAGCTGAAACCATCTCGAACACACATATCGCTGCATTTGGCTAAAGAAATCTTGCAAAAAATTTGTCTCAGTGATATATCGAAATCGAAGAGCTGTGAGAATCTGCACGTTCTTTAAGTGTTACGCGTAAGCTAAGCTGAAGAGATTTGAAGAGAAATTTTAGAAAAGTCCCCTTACTTAGAAGAATCTTTAGATGAGCATTTATAAGAAAAATATACATATGCATGAATAAGATTATGTATTTATATGTGCGTAAGTAGTATAATATTGTTTAAAAAATCACTAGCTACTAATTATATGTACATATGTATAAGTTTTAAGTGAGTACTGAACTGTAATGCGAACTTGTTACCTGTGCTTTCAATTCTAAATTGAATATTAAAATCTACTTCATATTAAAATCTAAATATTTACATAACGAATACAAAGAAACGAAATGGAAGTCTCCGAATTGTTTAAATATTATATTTACATAACTATATATACACATTTATGCAGATATGTATGTATATCTCTTTAAAAAGCAGTTTTCATGCATCTACAATCTATCTACAATTAACTTTTAATACAAAAATGTATGTACGTATATTTATGCAGCATACATACATTCAGATGAAATTCGAAATATGTAAGTGTAAACAGTTTTGGTGATGTTTTTACTGTCAAAAAAAATACGAGCAATAAATTAAACGCAGGATAGCATATTGAATAGTAAAATATCGTAAAACAATTTTTTAAATAACAATATACATACATATGTAGTATGTACATAGATTTTTAAAACAATTTTTATGTACATACATATGTACATTAGATCGACTATGATAAATTTTTTACAGATGAAAGTTTTTCGATAATCATCTCGCATATTAGAACTTCCAGCCAAAGCGCGTCCATACCAAATTTCATTTGTCTGATTTCATTAATACCGTATAAATTTGGTTTTCATAAATAAGTGCAACTTGTTGCCTCGACTAAATATACCTTGTGCTCATAAAAGTATTTATCTGTCTGCCTTTCTACCTAGCAAACCATGCCATTGGGATTAATGAGATTTGTATTTTCAAAGGAATTTTCATGGAGTGATAAGAATCCATAGCTCCTCTTATGAACGGAAATGCTTAATTGTGGTGGTCACCTGATTTCGGCTGGACACTGCAGCTAAAAAAGTGTTAATCTTAATTATTATATAAATGTATAATAAAATATTTTAACTAGCATTCTCTTCTTTTTCGCGGCAAGTTCAAAGCTTAATAGAAACAGTGGGCGCTCTTCTTTATTCTTTTATATTAGGAGCTACATCCACGCCAAAGTGCTGTTTACCTAAAGGTGCTGTCCAACATAGCAATAAATTGTCCAGAATTTTATTTCAAGAGCAAATCCCACTTGGCACGAAAATCTAAAATTAAAAATAAAAATTAATTTATAAAAAATCTTCTCTGACAATACTCAAACCCTTGGTCAGCACTTTTTAAAGAAAGAAAAACTTTGCTAGTGCAGCACTGCATTGCAAGTAAATTAGAATTATCAGTATATTTTATCACTTTTAGCGATAATCCAGGAAGGATAAACAGTGTTCGTTAATAAATAAATTGTTAATATACATAAATATTTAATATGTGTATGTAGATACTATTGTGAATGCTCTATTACATTAAATGATACCAAATACGCTTTCACCAGGATATTACTTGAAAATTATGTGAAAAAATGAAAATCATAATGCAAATGTATAGCATATAAATATTATTATTATAGTTATACAATATTATATAACAGAAATGAATGTTTGCATATAAATATTAGCACTTTTGGTAATTATCGTAGACATTTTATAATATTATTAATTCCTGCTTCCTTAACCTTCACATTCAATCAAAACTATACGTCAGACCGGAGTAGGAAGTCTCTCCATTCCAACAAGTGGTAATCTGATGGCGCTGAGTCAGGGTCATAAGATGTGGATAGAATATAGAGAATAATAGAGTATAGTGTTTCAATAATGTAGACCACGCAATTATGTATATGTATATATAATTGGCGCTTTGCAACCGTTGTTGCGACCTTCGGCCGAGCTCATGGCAGAATTACACTCAGAAACCGTAATTATAAAAATCAACTCAATTTTTTATCATTTTGAATGCTAGTCGGAGCCACGACTTGATGGTAGTAACAAAATGAATACCAAATATCAAAGCATACATACTATTTAATATCACTTACTAATGTTTAAACAAGTTGCATGTATTTCTTTAATCTTTCCTCTCCGGCTTATTTGCTATTGCCAAATTTTGTTCGGTCATACATGTACAAAAATACATATAGTATGTAGATGAAGTGAAATGTGGCTATTAACTAAATCTAAGGGCGTCCGAGCAAGATTAACTCTCATTGAGCTTTTATTAGTAACAACTGTCAGTTTAGTTTCAAAACTAACCGAGCTATTCCTACAGTCATGAGGATCCCTTTATTTCAGATTTCCTGTCAAAGTTCAGCTAGAGGTAAAATACAGTTTTTTACAATTATAAATTGCACTCACAGCATATGGCTATACGAAAAATTGTTTTCATTCGTCTAACCGTCCCATGGTTTTCTAACTACTTCTTCATTTCAAACAAAGACAATTAAAATATCTTTCAGCATTCATATACTTAAAGCGATTAAGCGATTTTCGGGTGAGCTCCTCCTTATTATTGTAATTATGGTGGTAATGCCGTTTTGATATTTTTCCAACAAATAAACACCTACGGTTTATTCTGAGTCACTTTCGAACGGCCGATAGATGGGTTAATTTTCTATAATTTTGGACCAGGACTCGAACCCTTGCACACCGATATTGAGGCCGCCCACAGAACAATTTTGAATATTTGCAATGCTTGTAAGGTAACATTTCTAGCTATTCTACAAAATCGTTAATTTAACCTCTTCAGAGAACAGAGAACATAAAATTATCATCGAAACTCATTTGTGTTCGAAATACTCGTATAATTGAATCAATTTTTATATAAGCTTTACTCACGAGGTCTATTAGCAGTGATTTGCAGCAAATTTATTATATTGTCAATTTTTTATGTTAATTTAATAAAACTAATTAGAGAAATCTCAAAACAAGAGAAAAAATGTTAAAGACTATCTTCCAATTGTATCAAAACTGGACTTACATATGTATATGTATATTTATTAAAACTCTATATATGAACTTATATACATACATATACATGTATGTATATATATGTATGTATATGTACTACCTTTTTACATATATGTACATATACAAACAAATGATATATTTCTATACAAGTGTTTTGAAAATTCGTTATAAATAAGTATACTCGTACAGTTTAAGATTCTTACGTATTAAATTAGTTGAGTAATTATAGATATAGATATGTATATGTTTATGTGCAAGCTGCATATTCTTAAAATATGCAAAAGTATTGTCGCTTTATGACTGTTAAATGTTGACTGTATTGTACAAAATGCTAAAGGACTCTATAAAATAATGTTGTTTAAATTCAGTATGAAAACGTACGCATACATAGGTACATATGTATGTTTACACTTTGTCTCAATTAGATACTTCCACTGAAAAATTATATGAAAATATTTTGCCAAAAATAAATATGTTAGACAACTTTATAACTGTTCTTTTGGGCTACTTAACTAGATAACCTACACGTATATAGCATACATATAGAAATCTTTTCTTTTACACCTCCGAAACCACTCGGCAGATTATACTGCCAACTTGTTGACTTACTTGTACTCATAGTTCTATTTACTTCAAATTATTTTCCTTCCAGGAAATGCACCATATCCCGATCAATTTGAAACAAAAAGTATATGGTACGATTTGGTTTTGGTTGAACAACATTGCATCATTCATTGCTTCTTTTCGCTGTTTGGATGCAATCGGAAATACCAAGTACAGCCAGATCATTCTCCACCTAGTCCTTCTCTTCCCCTGCTTCCACCGGCGGATACTGCATCGAATACTTTCATCGGAATCACATGATGTAGCCAGCGCAGCCGCTGTTGTTTGATTCGCTGAACTCTGTCAATGTGGCCGTATAGCTCGTACCGGCGGGGTATTCACTCCCAATTATAAATCTTACGCAAAACAATTCCCTCGAAAAATCCTAACGCCAACTTATCATATGTTTTCACCGTTCATTCTTCTGCACCATATATCAGGACGGGAACGTTCGTCTAGAAAAGACTTTACTTATTAATTGCCTACTCAGTTTAATGTGGGACCTGTGGCGTAGTTTGACGTTGGATTTCAATACTGCAATGTCAAGGGTTGTTAGAGTATACCGCCTATTAACCGAAAAAGTTTCATAAAACGAAAAAATATAGGTGAAATCAATAAACAGTTGTCCCTTTTCAAACCAGCCTTACCCAGAGAAGTGCCCATATATTTAAATTAATCTCAGAAAATAGGGAAATAGATTTTGATCAATAAAAAGAGTAGCCATTACTAACATTTCTATGTTTATTTTGACGAAATACCAAAATGAGTTGAATTCTGTTCATCTCTTCTTAAAAAAAAAACTTTGGTAGAGGCGTTACGAGTTATGTTAAAAAATATCTTGAATTTCACGGGCTTGGAAAGTCAATAATTAATAGGTATAATAAAGCATTCAACCGTTTTAAATCTTGCCTGTGACAGTCACTAGAGGTACAGCGTTGGCCAAAAGTATTAGGCACCCCACTAATTCCTGAATTTTTTGTTTTAACAAGTGAAGTAATGAAGTTTTATTAGTAAAACAGTGAAAATACAATGAATTAGTGATAATAAACTAAACATTTAGTAAGTCCACCCTTTGATTTAATAACGGCAATTCTCTTAGGCATGATGCGTACAAGCACTCATAGCGTACCACACGTTAATTAGGCATTCTTTAAGGCTGTTTTTGATGTTATACTGTGTTCCTTAATATTGCGTTTTAAAACAGCCCACATGTGCTCAATGTGATTAAGATCTGGAGATTGTGCAGGCCAATCTAACAAAACAATGTTGTTATCTCTAAACCAACGCATCGTAGTCGTTGATTTGTGACAAAGAGCATTGTCTTGCTGAAATTGAAGCCCGTCTTAATTAGTATCGCCGAAAATGCGCGAAATGCGAAGGCAGAAGAACAGCTTCTAATACACTTATGTACTTTTGACTGTCCAAGCGACCCTCGCAAACGAACATTTCGCGGAAACCATCAGCAGCCATGCAGCCCCAGATCAGAATGCTGCCTCCTCCATGCTTAACAGTGGGTACTACGCAATCTGGATGATATTCTTCCCCAACTCGTCGTCTCACGAACGTCACACCAGGCGTTCCAAATATCTGTAAAAAAGAAAAAATAATGTTTTATTAAGATTTGTTTTAAAAATTGTTCTAGGGTAAGAATTTATGGCTGTTAATACTTTAAGATGATCTTAACTAAGCTTACCTCGAAGTTTAAATCATCAGACCACAGAACATTCTACAATCTTCTTCCGTGAAATGTTGGGTTCGGTGAGCCCATTTCAAACGATTTTTCCTATTGTTTGCTGATAGCCACGGCTTTTCTCGGGCTTTACATCCGTTTAAGCCAGCTTCCAGATAGCACATTTGACCGCGCACCGCGAACATCCCTTAAAATTGGCAATTTCATTATGAGACTTACCTTCATCACTTAGAACGTGAAATCTATCTCTATCATCTTAACTAATTTCACTTTTTTTAGACATTTCGATAAATATGATATATATGATTTTTATAAGATTGGTAGAGTTTCACTAAATATAATTTACACTTCACTTTCAAATTTTAAATGTGAAAATATTTTATGAATTTCTTAAAAATTACAGGTTTAGCTTACCCAGAGTGCTATGAATTTTAATATTCCACAATTTATTCGTTAAATCAACAGTTAAACACCCATGTAAGACATTTACAAAAGGAAGTGGTAACTGTGATAGCCACATTTGAGAATACTTTTATTTTAGTGGGATGCCTAATACTTTTGGCCAAGGGTGTAGATGTGTTTTTATTTGCTGAGAAATTTTTTTATTTCTTAACAGAAATGGGTCACAGTAAATTTATCAAGTTAAAGATTTTCTCCAATATATATAGTGCTTTATGTAGATTTTTTTAGATTTGTTATAATTCAACACCTACTCTGTAAAAGTTCTCATATTTTGAGTATTTTCTTCGAATTAACTCCAAAAGTCCTGGACCGATTTTTATGATTCAATTTTTTGACCAAAGTATTTGCGCTACACTGGACTGTAATGAGGTTAAGCGTTGCCTTTGGGATTTCAGTCACAATCATTCGAGAAACATCAGCAGAGCCAACCCGATATATTCGGCTTTAGGGTTCGCTGGTGTCTAATTGTAGCGTCCATTCACCGCAGGTGCAGCTGCAAACAAGTGTCGGTCTTACTGCGAGCCAATCCCTAAATGCGTATAACCAATGCGTAGAAACCAACGCCACTGTATAGTAAAGCCTCAAATCATTAAAAGTGGAAACGTCGATATCTAGAAATGCAAGTGCTTGTGACTTTTATTGGACATATATAGGAGCGTTAGTTTGTTGTTGGATTTGTGGTGGGAGAACTACTCAGTCCTCTAATCTTGGCATACATCCCGGTGGAAGAATGGCTCACCACAGTTCGCAGCACAGCAAAGTTCTTGAACGCCTCGCTGATCTTTGCTCATATCATAATGAAAAAGAAGAACGATATGATTAAAGATGCGCTCTACGCCCCCTATGAGCACTGTCCCGACACGACATCAAAATCATGATTGACTATTTATATATATAAAACAAAATGTGGTCATCTGAAATACTAGATTTCGATACAAAAAAGTTTCATCAAGCTACTTGGCTCTCATCGGAGTGAAAGACTGAAGACCAAATCGACTACATTGTGATTGACGGAAAATACATTTTCGATCTGCCTCTGCGCATCCGCGATTGCGGTTTACATCAAGAACTCCACAAAATCCTCTTACTTGCAATGTAGTGCATATTATCGTCAACCAATTAATTGTAATTCAATCCGATTTCAAAAATTTTAGCACTTCTGCTATGAAAATGCTTAACGTCAACAATTAATAATTCCTTAAGAAACGAAATAGTAACAGTGTTTATCGAAATTTAATCCGAAAACTACGCGTGAATTTTTCTTTCATTTTCTTGAATTTCAGCCAATGCTCCGCCCAAAACTATTCTCGCATTAAACAAGACATAAAGAGATAAAGCAGCGCCAAAATCTTCTTGGTTTGTGTCTTATGTATTTTTGTTTATTTTTATTTTGAGTCTCCATTGAAGTTTAAAAGTTTTGTTTGTTTTTTTTTTTTAATATCGTAAACGTTTTGTGTTGTATTTTCAAATTCTCTGTTTAATGTTTATTTGTATTCGAATAATAACTAAATTCTTTTCATCTATTGGTGTTCGGTCATTGCGAGCTTTCCTTTTAGAATATTTCGTATGGTCTCCTCTTTTTGAAGAAGTTTCTTTTTCATTTTGTCAATTTCCTGTAAATGTCGATCGTGCAAGCCTCGCACCTGGGATTCTTTATGCTTAACAATGGTTTCAAGCCGTTTCAATGCATCCCAAGTATTTTGTATATTTACTTGACCCTCCTCCATTTTTTGTGCCCATTGCAGGGCAATCCGAAGTCGAGCTTTTAACCGATCTCGCGAGCATTTTATTTTTTCCGAGGTGTGCTGTAGAGAGTTGGCACGTTTTTCAAATTCTTCTGCGGCTTTGCGTTGTTCTTCAACCTTTTTTTCTAATGATTTACATTCTATTTTCAACTCAGCTATTTTTTTACTATCACTCACATGTCGCAAACGAAGATCTTCCACATTGTTTTCCAGCATCTGCTTCTCATTGCTATGCTGCTCTTTCAACTTCTCTAAAAGGGCTTTGCATTCTTGCAAAGATTGCTCCAAGCTCTCGGGTGGATGTGGCGTGACACTTTTCAAAGTTACCAATTCATTTTTGCATCGGGTGTATGCCGACTGCAAATGTTCCATGTCAAGAACCAGTGACTGCATTTTTTGTTCATAACAGTGCATTACTTCCACCAATTTCTCCTTGGCTAAGTCTGACTTTCTTGTTTGGGCCTCAACTTTTGCACGGCACACATCGGCTTGAGCCTGCAAACGAGTTCTTTCCTCACGCCAAGAACTAACTTCTTTTCGCAGGTGTTCATTTTGCTGTAAAAGGCGGTTATTCTCCTCCAGGGCTCGTTTCAATTCTCCAGTGAAGTGCTCAAATTCTTGTTTATATTGTTGTATTAACTGCTCCTTATCGCGTATCATTTCGTCGTAGGACTGTAGCAGCGGTGAAAGTGTGTGTGTCCGTAAAGCGCCCTCTTCCCAAACTGATATGTGAGATGTCTGTGCGGGCAAATCACCGGCGCCGATCTCACTTGTTGTCGCATTGTTCGAAGCATTAACTATACCATCCTTGGAAAGACGTAAGCTGTCTTGATAACTTTCAATTTGTACATTAAGACGATAGACGAGTGTCTTCATCATCGACACATCCGAGGCTAAAGCCTGTTTCTCAGTGCAACACTTTTGGAGTTGTTGAATCAACTCCTGACAACGGCCGCAGTTCGTAACTTCATCCTGTAATATATCTATCCGCTGTTCTAGCGCTTGTATGTGTGAGCGTAACTCCTTGTTTTGCACGTCGAACTGTTCATTGAATTTGTGTAAGGTGGCTAAGCGCTGGAGCAATGTTTCCATTTGATTATCCTTGGCCTGAAGCTGAAACAAATTACAAAACCTCTATTACATATATTCTCCCCGAGTGAACCGAATGCTTTTTAGCGAGAAATTACCAATTCGTTGAAATAGCTGTTAACGCGGATGCTTTGTTTAACGTTGGCATTATGCTCTTGAGTTCTATTTTCCGCAGACCGTGAACGTCGGTTAAAGTTACCCGAAATTGTATGCAATTGCTTTTGCGAATGCGATTTTCTGTGAAATTTGTGTGTAGGGTCCTGTGAATGTTTTAATTCCGATTGTTGTTGGCAGTCTGAGACATCTAGGTCTGTAATTATTGCATGTTTACGCCGATTTTCTCCTTGCACTGTTGTCATTTTTGCTACGAATATTATGTTAAATGCTAAAATGTATTGTTCTCTTTGACTGACATACATATATACAAATGTATGTATGTATGTACATATTACTGTTCAAACGTTTTCAAATTCGGGGTAGTAAACAAACCAGAAAGAAATGCGTCACCATGGTGAATATATGTCTGTATATCTATCTTTAAGACTCACTGTTAGTGTCATTCGGGTGCTAAGGGGTAGAAATCATCGAAACAGTAATGAAGTTATGCATACACATATATCTGCATACATATTAAAATAAGTTAAATTAAATTTCATATAACGTCATATCGAGTATAATTTACGTTGGTTATCACACAGATCGGGTCTTCAGATCTGGTAAAACTGCCATTAATAATGCCCAAAACCTTGGAACCACCTGGCGTCGATTTTAAAACAGTTTTCGATAACAGGAAAAGAAGCTATCTGAATTTCAACTGCGTCAGAGCAACATTCTAAAATCGCGGAAAAACTCTCTGAGCCATTCGATGCTAAAAATTATTCCTTATCGTGCGACTTCGTCACCTCTACATATGTATGTACGTAAAATATTCTATGGGATCGCACAACTGTCGGGGATGCCGATGATATTGACAACACCGACCTCAACAACTGCGACTTTGTTCCGCTTTCAGTCAGCGTATTCGCGTCCCAACTACGAGGTCGCTGTTGACAGTCGAAACTTAAAATTTGTTTATAACTTCGTTAATTGAGCATCAAAACCAATAACAACCTGAACAGTGAATCACTCCTGTGGGGCGGACGTAAGCAATTTAAAAGTAAAGCCCTCTTGCTCCCTCATGATTCCCATTCTGCTTTATGGTGTAGATGCCTGGACTATGAAAACTTCTGATGAATCGCAATTAAAAGTTTTCAAAAGCAAAGTTGTGTGGTCCTTTGAGCATTGACAGGGTCTAAAAACACAGTCGATATAACGATAAGCTGTAGGTCATGTTGTCCGAATAGATGATAGTACTGCAGTTTTGAAAGTATTTGAATTTTTATAAAGTAAGAAATTTAATGAATGTAAATTTATTTACATAATTTACCCTTTCCAGGTAAACCTTTTGTCAGGCAATTCATTGAATAAAAAAAATTTATTTCATTTATAAAAAGTAATTTTCCATCTTTTTTGCTGGTGGAAGCAGAGGAAAGATCAGTGGAGAAGTACCTGCCTTCACACGGTATCTCCAACTGACCCCAAATGGCGAGAATTCAATAGACAACTTTGTAAAGTGTAAAAGTGACTCACTGCATATCTCTACTCTGAACCAAGCGGAGAGGGTTTTTAGATTAGTCGGTTTGAGAGAACTTACAAGGTATGCATTTTGCATATTGGACACACGCTGGGCACATAGGGTACCCGATGACGTCATATGCATGAACAGAGTTTGTGAGGATTTACTTATTTGCAAGTAGTCGCGATTAGCGGCAGTGAAAGTGAAATATCCGTGGAATCAGGGGAAAAACGTGGTGTTTCGACAAATTTAAGATCGAATTTTAAAAGCAAACCAAACGAACATGTTAACTGAAAATCATTTGTAGACCAAATGAGATCTTGCCATTCAATGCCACTTGTGATAGCAGAATAGGTTTATTCGTTTATTTCAGAAAACGTTTCAAATGGCCTCCATTGAAACTCCAAAGTGCGTAGGTAATCAATTAATATGTATATAAACAATTAAATTTTTAAAAGTAAGCCTAACGTCAAGAACATGTGGCTCAAAAAAAAAAGGGAATGAATAATTATTTTTAAAAGGTATTATATTTAATAGGAAAAAAAATGTTTGATATTTAATTTAAATTTTATTTCACTCCTTTCTCCGATTAACAAAATTAATTAAATTATATCGCATTGTCGTTCTGTTTATATCCTTTTTTCCGGACTACAAAGATACTATATTGTAAAAGTAACCAAATAGTAGATTCAAGTAAAATTATTTAAGTTTACATTAAAGATACATATATTAGGACAGCAGAAACCAAATGGCTTGTACTGCTACTTTTTATAATTGAAGTAGAAAATTAGTGACTCGCTTCGTTACGCTTTGGGTTAAAGGCTATTCATATGCATGCAAGTACATATGTATATATTGTATGTATCTAAATGTATTATTGCATAAAACTCATGTTTCTCCAACTACTTTATTTAGTTTGGTTGAAAATTTAAATTCAGTTTAACGAACTGTCCGATCTTCTCCAATACACCGGGGTATACAGACTGCATTAGCTGTTGATAGGCTTCTTCACCCATTTGAGTGCGCAATGCATTTAGTTGCCATTCCAAATATTCAGCAAGAACAATCTTATGTACTGGATCTTTCAGAGACAATTGTCTACAACGATCGTAATGATAAGTCTTATAGTCAAAGTCATCCATTATACAATAACTGCTTGTATCTAAGTCGTGTTCATCGAGAAAAACCAGAGAATCGCAAAATTTCATTGGTTTCTCGCCAGCTGGACGGGGCGGCACATTTGCAACGCTTTCAGAACTATGAATTGTATCCGCATCGTCGTCTTCCTCCCTCATCACATCCATAAGGGTGTCACCAATATTTTGCATTATTCCTGGAAAACGCTCTATTAATATAGAATTATTGGTGAATATCGACGCAAAGGCAAGGGCGAAAAGTTTTCGTTTTTCAACTTCGGTTACTAATGGCATCTTCCGTATCCACACGTCCAGTATTGTCTCTAATGCATTGGGCAACTGTAAATCCTGCAATACAGTGGTAAATACAGATTGGCTAATAAGCAATACTCGTGCAACCATCATCAAGTACATTGACATTAACATAGGAAACTCTTTGTCCAGGTACACTTGCTTAAAAATGTAAGGCAAGGCGGGTCGTACTAATTCTAACCCGTAATTTGCATCTGACTTTAAGCAAGTCTCGAACACTTTGAGCATTAGTGCAATGCCTTCTGGTCGCAAATCATCAAACATACGCGTACAGAATTGTACAAAATCCTTTCCGTATCGTTCAAGGAAGGTATGTGCGTCTAAGAGGATGTATGCTTGTATGAGAATGAGAACAATGCGTAGATTCTCCGAGGACATTTCTATGATGGGCAAAAGGTTTTTGCATAGAGCTAGGAGTTCTGGTGACATAACGGTTGAATTCTCTACCACGGCTACCCAGAGCGCCAGTCCTTCTTCTATTAGGTAAATATGTGAGAGCTCCTAAAAATATAAAATGAAATTGTAATGTTTACAGGATTAAACAATAATACACCACTTATTTTCCTATGCATTACTATATTATAAACGGATTTTTAGGTGATTTTACTATAACATATTACAGTTTAGCAATATTTATGGCTGTTGTTTCTCAACATAGTGCATAATGCAGTTTTATGTTCTTTAATGATTCCAAAGCGCAAATATACTAAACTCAACATCTTATGTAGCAGCAAGTTCGCAAATCAAAGCTTCAAAACTTGTCTGGAAATCGGCTATACTGTGATATATGCGCAACTAATGACCTAAAGCTACAAGTTACTAGTTAATAAGATTGTAAAGCATAGTGTCAATAAATGAATTTCATATGTTATATAAATAGGTGTGATATGAACTGTATGAATGATATGAAATAGTAAAGGATGACGCAAAATTGTACTCAATATGTACTCAGAGCATTAATTCCAGCGATTCCGCGTAATAGCTGAAGTGTTTCACGTTCAAACAAAAAGTCTGTGTTGCTTTGCCATTTAAAAAACAAAAGGATTAATTCAATAAATACTGAGGACGTAATTTGACAATGGAATTTTGTATTTTGATAAATAACCATAGCGAGAATAAATTTATTAATATCATGATATTAATTTTTTGCCCTTCAAGAATTTTTAATTCATCTCTACTCTTACAACCCATTTGTTTTTTTATAGTTTCGATATCGATTTAGCTGTTTAAATCTACATTGCTTACACTAATTGAAATTCGCTGAGATCGCATTTATTGAAAAAAAAACTTAATTTTCAAACAAGCAAGATGATATTAATGAAGTATTATAGATAAAAGATTGAAATATAGTATATAATAACATTACCTGAAGATCAGTACTCAGCTGTATAACATTGTAGAGGAATGGTTTCATAGATTCTGGAATATCACGCAGCGCCTTTGCTAATTGTTGTAATGTGCATATAATAGCACATCGTAGCATATTATAATCCTCGCTTTCCTTCCATAAGAGTGGTAAGTATGATATTAGATTATCAGCCTGTGGTTCAATATTATCGCTCATCTTCTCCACAAGACAAGACATTATAGTAAGCACATTCATTTTTGTATCGCATTCTCTAGCCTCCCCCAGAAGAACAAAGAGTGCGTTAAAGGCCGGTTCCAAATATGGTAGGAAAGGCTCAGGAGCAAACTCGAAATCTCCAACTAATGTCGACAAGGTACGCGATGCTGCCAAACGAATCGACATATCTTCAGTAGAACGCAGTAAATGTAAACATGCTTCATATGCCAGAGGACGTAAATTTCGAGAAAATTTAACAGCCGCCCATTCGGCTACCAACCAAATAATACGGCGCCGAAGAATTCGAAAACTGTCACTTTCGATGCGTAGCTCTGATAATAGTTGAGTACTAAACCAAGAGTCGAAATCTATGTCATTAAAAAAATGAAATGATGCCAATCCAGCGGCATTATATATGGCATCTTTTAAAAGTATATCCTTAAGATCAGATGTAGACGTTAATTCTATTTGCTGAGCTTTTCGGATATACTTGACAACCTCAGTAGTCATTTGTGATTGGTATTGGCTGAAACATGTTAGGAAAAATGACTCAATACAGGGACGCAGCGCATATTTCCAGCTTTCTCCACCATCATCTTGTGCGAAACCTTCGGGATCTTCAATCCATTGATCTAGTTCGATTTGTGTTAGTAAAAAGTAGTGAGTTATAATTTTTTCACATATATAACAAAGACGTTCATTAGTGAAAAAGTCTGACAAAGCTATATGTGGGGCAGGATCAGGTTCCGCCACAAGAAGATCGCCAGTTGTTGCTGCACTTGCATAAGCACTGCACATCATTATTCCTTTCATAAGATTAATGCAATGTATAGCAAAGTTTGTAAAATTTATGACGTTCTCATTGAAAATAAGGCGAGCGCGTTCATGGAAGACGTGCTCAAAACTAAATTCCAATGCAACAGGAACAAAGCGTGCAAATGAACTGGAGTGCATGTCTTGAAATTCTGTTAATGTCTTCATCTGCTTCAGAATGAACTTTTCAACGAGCCCTATTAACTGCTCTTCTGCTCCGAGATGTTTTAATTCATATCGACATTCCAAACACTGCTTAAGACGAGCAAACAGTTGTTCTAGGAAGCGCATACAGCATGCTACTTTAAAAGGTTTCGGAAACCCATAAACTGTCAGTTTACGTAGTATACGCATTGAAAGCAGCGCACGCTCTAATGTGGATATCGCATTCAGGGAAGCCGATTTCAATTGGTGAAAAAATAGCGTAGTAAAAGCGTCCCACAATTCCTGCATATACACGAATAAATTGCCAGTAAGTTCCTCAAAAACACGTTTTTCAGCCATCATGCGACGCGATGCTAATGCCTTTACAACATGATGTAACACAAGTAGAACTCTTTGCTGCTCACCAGCATCGCCATCACTTTGTGCACATATTTGTAACTTTTCAACCAATTGGGGTATTAATTCTGGCCAGTCGCGAGGACAATCAATTCGTGCTATTCGAGCTACAAGAACTGCAATTTGCATTGCTACTTGCGGTACTGGCTCTGAACTGAAGTTTTTTAACAATATCTCTCGAATTTGCTGTTTCTCTTCATAGGGAAGTTCGTGTCTCACGTTACGTCTCCAATATTTATTTATTCCATTTTTTAAGTAAACAGCAGCCATCCACCGCACATTCAAATCAATTTCTAAAGGCTGCTGCTCAATATCGCTATTATTATGGACTGAGAAACGTGCCAGAGTTGGAAAGAAACCTGGCTGTACTTCCCACTCTGCTAACTGAGCTTCAGCTTTAAGAACAACTTCATGATTTGGATCCGTTGCGGCGCGCAGTGTTTGGCACACCATCATTTCAGGAGAAGCCAGTTCCACATTCATTCCCTATAGGTTACAGAAATTTTAGTATCCAATAGGACATTCATAAAATTTATATACATTTGATATTTTTTCACAAGTTTGAACCAATCAATAAGCTACTCACTGATATTGTTCATCAACGTTTTTAAAATATTTTCTTTAGTGTTAAAACAATTTTTCTCACCGAATCGATTTAACTTCGCACAGATGTTTTTGTTTTATTCGTTTTCTTTATTAGCATCGACACAAAATTGTATGCAATCAGCTTATAAATTACATATGTCGGCAGCCGTCTGACACCATCTGTCAAATTTTCGTTGGGTGTGTTCATCTGAGACCTAATATATTGATCCCAGAGATTGTTCACAATGCTTGTACTTCTCAGTTTATCTACATACATATCAGAGAATGTAAATACAACGAAAAGGTCCAGGACAGCAAAGAATGTAAATAGAACGAGTAGGTCCAGGGCCTGCCGATTGTCATTTTGTTCCGCTTTGCAGTGGACGCCAGTTTTCTATGAGTGCACTTCACCCCAGATATCGATGAGCCCTGATCACCACAATCTAACAGAGAACTAGCAGAATTGTGCTCAAAATAGTAGAATGAGTACAATAATGAGAGTTTCCATGCAAAATAAATGTATAACTGATAAAAACCTATCCAAGATAAATGTTATTGTTGCGAAAATGCGAGGCGAATGTCAGATGAAAGAGAGAA